ACGTAACCTGTTCATGATTATTAATGAGGGCGGCTGGCCGACGTGGAGTGACGTCACACACAGACTTTATTGGCTCATCATAGTAGTTAATATATTAATGGCGTCATCACACTTATGACGAATCGATTCTCTGCCATCCCGACCACGCTCAATGGAATCGAATATTAACATTGGGCGTATGGATCTCGCCAAGAGGAATCGATTCTAACCCTAAACCTCTGGCACACTCAGTGGGGCGCTCTGCCCCCCCCCCATCGCCCGGCTCGCAGGAGCTCCGCCCTCGCGTAAATGACTTCGATCACCACAGCGCCACTCATCCTGCAGTGTCACCGAGTCTCGCCACACTCTCCCAGGGGGGGTCCTGCGCGTGGATGTTTGGCCAGTTTCAAATGGCTCACGTGGTTCCCACTTATTGTCTCCGAATGCCCTAAACGCCTTGGAATGACATCACTTCACAAATGTCTTTCATATTTGATCTGCGTGGGAGGGAACCTGGAACATCAGCAGATTATCATTCACATCAACAAAACAGCCTGCCTCAGCAGCTTTCCCACTCTTTTTTCTCTCCTGATGACGATTGCTTGTGCTGCGATCGAAACGTCGTAGTTTTTGGGATTTTGTTCTTTTCTTTGAACCTATCTACGTGACTTTTTACCGAAAGACCGGAGAATAAGAAAATGATTGCTTTACTGCTTTACTGAGTTGAAGACAGAATATTGGAGGAACTACATAAACCAGACACCATAAATAACGGAAATAATGTTGCCGAATCGAATCACCATCCCGAATCGTGACACTCCGTCGAGGTTTAGGAGGAGTCTCGGTGAATGGTGACAAGCCTGATGGTCGCTATAAAAAATAAGCGTAATCCTTCATGATGTCTGGGTTGATTGTATCTCGCACACACGAATGTCCGTGCAGTGGTGGTGATAACACATTGGCAAGGCCTAAGCTTCAATTTATTAAATCAATCGTCAGATGACAAAGAGATGTGGAGACAGAGGACCACAAACACAGACCCAGCTTTTCCACCTGGCCCCTTCCTCCTCCACTGTCTCTCTCCCCCCACCTCACCCTGCCCTCCGCACTCCCCCACCAACCCCCCCCCCCCCCAGACCATCGGAACCCAGCTCACGAGACCCCCCCCCCCACCCCGCTCGGTTCAGCAGAGCATCAATGAGCTCGCTGTGAGGTCGCAGGTGCCCCTTCTCGGACGACAGTTACTCGGTATGGTCCCTGGAGACCAATTAATGAAGCTCAAAATGACGATGATGTCCAATTAGGCAGAGCCATGGCACTGTTATCGCCCTCATGCGGGGTCTCCGAAGCTCCGAGCGCCCTGGTGATTGGACACCGCCCGCTCCACTCGAGGTTCGCTTCGTGCCTCCAGCACGAATCCCTTCCCTCGCGCCAGCCAAGCCGATGGTGCGCACGTGGCTACCCAGTGACGGACGGGGACTAAAAATGGGCTCAGTCATTTGTAAACACAGTGGTCTAGATTTCCGTGCGATCCCATTGGCCCATGGGGGCTGGGTCCAAGAAACAAATGGGCCGCTGAGGAAGAATATTTGGGGATGCCGAATATGTGGGGACTCAATGCCAACGGAGAGCGTAAATAAGCAACGAAGCGTACACATTAGAGGTCATGTAATATATCTTGATTTGAAGCTTTCGTGACTGCACGAATCCACACTCTTTGGTTCATTCGGTAAAGTCACGTAGGTAGAAAATAATAGATCACGACGTTTCGATCGCAACACAAGCAACCGTCATCAGGTGAGACCAACACAGCAAGGGGAAATGCTGACGAACGAGAAAGAGCTGCTGCAACAAGAGCTTATATAAGGTAGGAGGAAAGCTGCTGATGCAGGCTGCTTCTAAAGGGTAGAAATGGGAGTACCACAAGAGTCATAAACGACTGACAAACTAAGTTGTGTCTGCGGCAGCAGTTAAATCGGAGAAACGAAACGACATGTCTCGGACCGTGTTCGCGAACACAAGGCAGATTTGAAACACGGCAGAACCAATACCTCTGCCGTAGCTGATCACTGTTGTAACGCGGTGGGTTCACACGATATTGTTTTTTTCCCAGACGAAGGTACTCTACAAATCGTCGGGCTACCATCAAAGATTTGTCCATGAAGCCATCCAGATATATTAACACAGACGCAATTTCAACCGAGAAGTTGGGTACAAACTGATCAATCATTGGAAGGACGTTATTAACCGGTTTAGGTCATAACTGGCTATGATGCCCCCCTCCTGCCTGCCGATGTTAGCAGCTATTCTCGACTCTCTGAGTCACAGCTTCTCTCTCCCCCTTCCACCGATTATCTATGCCCCACCCCCTCCTCTCTATCCTCCTGCCTCCGATCTCCCCCTTGTCTCATGCGCAAGTCGTTTATGACTCTTGGGGTACTCCCATTTCTACCCTTTACAAGTAGCCTGCATCAGCAGCTTTCTTCCTACCTTATATAACCTCTTGTTGCAGCAGCTCTTTCTCCTTCATCAGCATTTCCCCTGCTGTGTTGGTCTCACCTGATGACGGTTGCTTGTATTGCGATCAAAACGTCGTGATCTATTATTTTCTACCTACGTGACTTTACCGAAAGAACACAAAGAGTAAGGTCATATAATACTTCAATGAAAAAATATATGTTTTACTCCGATCACATTTGCAATTACCCCAAACAGACCGGCCAACCGGCCCTCGGAAAAGACCGGCCCACGGGCATTTGATGCTGCCCGTAGCGCAGCAACAGAAGCAGTACTGTGAATACAGCAGCGAGGGTTCGTGCATCGCACACTGATGCCATGCAACTCTCTTCCCCGTGGGTGAGCGTCGAGGACTAGCCGTACCCTAGCTCTGTCAGAAAAAGGTGGTAGAGCAAAGTGTGGACTAATATCTTTCTGTCCCATATGAATGGGATAGGTTATTGCCCCCTCGCACGTGTGGGTCTTCTCTGGGTTGCTCCAATTTTTTTTCCAAACTTATACAAAATAAATATACTGTTTACTATGAAATCCATTATATATTTTTCTAAAAATACATTAAGAATTATATTCTTTGAATTCTAATAATTCTAATAATTATACAATTATTCTATAGATGATAAAAATGATAATTTAGAGAATTACAAAAATCGGCTGAGAATATCTTAATCTATACAGATTGCGCAGCGCTGGTGTGACGCAGTTACAAAGCCATGCATGACGGATACTCTATAATCGCTCAATATTATGTTTTAATAATATTTTTATGATTGTGTGGCGCTGTTGCACTGAGATCCAGCACATCAGACACATTTACAACACGGAGCTTACGCTGCTTCAGGTCATGAGATGTACAGTTCCACTTGGAGGAGACGGTCTGCAGTGAAACGAGCTCAATTCTATTTTCAAAAGGTAAGATCTCAAAACAGTGCGAATGAGATTACCGGAGAATCGTGTAGTAAACCCTACCGATGCTGCGCTGTTTACTCAAATAAATCCGACCGTTTCGCTGTCCAATTCCACTGTCTCGCCGTTTGTCCCAGTGGAGTTGTTAATCTCTCGCTCCACCGCGGAGGATGCTCTCATAACGTTGAAACGGGAGAATCCCACACGACTGTTACATTGTGCCTGAGAGCTGCTCCGACCTCAGCCCTATTGTGCGGAAAAAAACCTAAAAACTAGAGATGTAAAACAAACAATCAATGATGAGCCACTTTGTTGAGCTTTCATTTGCGGCCAGGTCGCTTCTGAAAATGAAGATAATAGCTCACTGGGCTTTACCTGGTAAGATCAAAACAATACTTTAGTTTTATTGTATACTGTATTTTTAAGTGATTTACACTTTGATCATGTTTTGTATTGCTTGTTGTAACGTTCTGTTCTACCCTTACTGGACATCTATGAAAAATAGCGTTATATCTCATTGGGTTCCTCCAGTATAAATAAATATTCTGATTCTGACTTCCCTCTGGCCTTGAACTCGGTGCATGGCGAGTGAGAGGTACTGGGATGGGTCGAGTTCAAAGAGCGGGGCGTTGGGAGGGAATCCGAGCCGTTCCACCAAACAGTTCAGTTCAAGTGTCGTCACCGCGATGGGACGACTGCAGCAGGAAGGTGAGGAGGGGGTTGTGAGGCTGACCAGGACGGTTGATGGGAGGAGTGGCTCGTGCACAGACAAAGTTTAATTTTAGCCGCAGGTGTCCGGGCATGAGCTCCGGAAAATATTAAATTAAAAACTAAGCCCTTGCTCCTGTACGCCGTTGCGGTGTTGAGACACACTTGGCACGCTGTCCCTGTCCCTGGTGCTGTCCCTGGTGCTGTCCCTGGTGACCCTGGTGCTGTCCCTGGTGCTGTCCCTGGTGCTGTCCCTGGTCCTGTCCCTGGTGCTGTCCCTGGTGCTGTCCCTGGTGCTGTCCCTGGTGCTGTCCCTGGTGCTGTCCCTGGTGCTGTCTCTGGTGCTGTCCCTGGTGCTGTTCCTGGTGCTGTCCCTGGTCCTGTCCCTGGTGCTGTCCCTGGTGCTGTCCTTGGTGCTGTCTCTGGTGCTGTCCCTGGGGCTGACCCTGGTGCTGTCCCTGGTGCTGACCCTGGTGCTGTCCCTGGTGCTGACCCTGGTGCTCTCCCTGGCGCTGTCCCTGGTGCTGAGCCTGTTGCTGTCCCTGGTGCTGTCCCTGGTGCTGTCCCTGGTGCTGTCCCTGGCGCTGTCCCTGGTGCTGACCCTGTTGCTGTCCCTGGTGCTGTCCCTGGTGCAGACCCTGGTGCTGTCCCTGGTGCTGTCTCTGGTGCTGTCCCTGGTGCTGACCCTGGTGCTGTCCCTGGTGCTGTCCCTGGTGCTGTCCCTGGTGCTGACCCTGGTCCTGACGCTGGTGGTGCTGTCCTCAGCAACCGTGGGAAGAAAAAAAACGAGGCAGGCACTTGCGTGCATTTTTTTCCCACAGCGCTCATCGGCAGCGCTGCGCGTGATGTCATACGCAGCCTTGCGTGGTGAAGTCACTCCAGAGAGCGCGAGTGAGAGGGAGGGGGGAGCGAGGGAGAGAGCGAGCGGTGAGGGAGGGGGTGGAAATGATGTAAGCGGAGAGGACACCGACCACCACCCCGCTCACCTCGGCACGGTGCGCACGAACTGGGAGCCGCCCGATCCGGCGCTTGCACGAGTCACGTCCGCGCGCCGCGATGGCGGAGAGCGAGGTGGAGACGCCCAGCACCCCGAGCGAGCTGCTCGAGAACCGCTACTTCGAGTTCAACAACGTGAGGCTGCCTCCCTTCTGCCGCGGCATCATGGACGAGATCCTGGCGTTCCCCGTGCGCGAGGACGACATCTGGGTCGTCACCTACCCCAAGTCGGGTGCGTGTGTTGCTGCTGCTGAGTGCTGGGTGGTGTAGGATGGTGTTTGACCGGTGCTGGGTGGTGTTAAATGGTGCTGGCTGCTGCTGGATGGTGGAGGATGGTGTTTGGTCGGTGCTGAGTGGTGCAGGTTGCTGATTACTCAGTGGAACTGGTTGCTGGGTGGTGCTGGGAGTTGGGCGTTGCTGAGCATTGCTGGGCTGAACTGAGTGGTGCTGGCTATTCGGTAGTGCTGGGTGGTGCTGGGCGGTGCTTGAAGGTTGGTATCGTTGGGTGTTGCTGGGTACTTAGTGATGCTGTGTGCTGGGTAATGCTGGGTTTTGGTGAGTAATGATGGGTATTGCTGGGTGCTGGCAGATTCTGGGTGGTCCTGGATTGTGCTGGCTGGTGGGTCCTGGGTTGTACAGGGTGTTGCTTGGTGGTGGATGGTGGATAATGCCTTGTGCAGGGTGCTGGCTGGTGCAGGGTGGTGGTTGGTGTTGGATGCTGAGGAATGCCGGGTTGTGCTGTGTGGTGGCTGGTACACGGTTGTATTGGCTGGTGCAGGATGCTGACTGGTGGTGGGTGGTGCAGGGTTTTGGTTGGTGCTGGGTCGTGAGTGATGCAGGGTGGTGTTGGCTGGTGTTGGGTACTGGCTGGTGGTGCTGGGTCCTGGATGGTGCAGGGTGGTGCCGTGCGCTGGTTAGTGCCGAGTGTTGGATCGTGCTAGGTAGCGCTGGGTAGTGCATGCTGCTGGCCGGTGCAAGGTACTGGATAGTACTGCGTAGTGCAGGTAGCTGGGTGGTGGTGGTGGAGGGTAGTGCAGGGCGCTGGCTGGTGCAGGATGGTGCTGGGCGGTGCTGGGCCGGGCGAGCACCGCGCTGACACGGGCGGGGGCGGCGCACATTGGCGGCCTTCCCTCGCCGCGGCCGCGCTTTGTAACGATCACAGCCAATCACAACGATCCCACTCCGGGCTATTGAACAGCCGGACAATGAACGCTCTGTGCTCAATTTGTGCCCATTACTGACACGCGAACGTGGCACACGCATCGCACGTAACCAACGCGCGGTATTCAGCACGTCACGCCGCACCGACACTACTGCTAGTTCCACGTTGTGCTGCGTGTGGTGTGTACAGAATATATACTCGGTGTGTGCCGCGGGTGATGCCTGCAGTGTGCACTGCGTGTATGGCGTGTTCTGTGTATATTGTATACGTACTGTGCGTGCTGCGTGTGTATTGGTGTACTGCGTGTGCTTACTCCATGGTGCATGACAACTTCGTGTGTTCTGTGTACTTCGTGTTTACTGCGTGTACTGCGTGTTCGGTGTGTGCTGCGTGTACTGTGTGTGCTCTGTGTACTACGTGTGTTCGGTGTGTAATGCGTGTGTGCTGATGTGTGTGTGCTGCTGGCTGTGTTTGTGTGCTACACACGGGTCCGGGCGGTTGTTCTCTTTTCACTGCGACGCTGGTGCCGACTACGCCACCCAGCCCACACCCTCGTGTGCCGATCCGGAATTTGTAGGTGGCGCTACTGTTCACTAACAGCACTCGCCCCATCAGCCTGTTAAGGCTACACGGGGGGCCTTTGGTATTAACTTATTATTCATTTTTTTCCCAGCAGAGCCACGCTGAGTCGTAGGATTCGTTTTCAGGAGGGTTCTGTCAGATTGTTTATTTATTTTGAGATGTGTTCCGCGAATAAATGGTGAGTCGTATTTATTATTCACGTGGGGAGAAAAGCCACACCTTGCGCGAGGGGGTAGCTACGCCCCATCCTCTGTACAGATGGAAACAGGTGGCGATTTTGTCCACATTTGGCTCCCACCGCCTTCTCCTGGCGAGCCTGGGTACTGCCCCTCCTCGACGCCCATGGGTAGAAGGGATTTTCGCAACAGCGCAGTGATCCAACCAACCCTCGCTGGTGTCTCCACAGTGCTGGAGGATTACAGGCAGCCACGTGCAGCAGCGGAGGCACGGCCGCGACATGGAAAGACTGCATAGAATACAGGCAGGGAGATTTTAGAAATAAAAACACATCTCGTTCACAGCCAGACCGGTGCACAATGGGAATCCCGCAATGGATTCAAAACAACGCGCCTATTGCGGGAACTCACAAACGTGGCCTTTATAAATATCGCTGATTCACAATTTCGCGTCCTATTTCTAAGTCGTTTATTTGAAAAAGTGACGTGCTCAAGATTCCAGACTCGTACGTGATTGCGGCTTGACCAGCTGAGAACCGAATTCCCTCTCAGCGTGCGAACCCGCCCGTGCGTCTGCTAAATTGCACGCGAATCAAAAGCAGTAATTATCTAGCGAATTGCAATCACTGTTTGCGTGTTTTGTAACGAGGGTACGGTCGAGATGTCATTGGGAGTTAATCGTTCATGCGCTCCTGCTGAGTTATTTAAGCTGCCAGTCACAAAAGGCATTGTCACTGTTAGAAATACGAGACGCGTTAAAGTGTGCTGGGTGTTGGCTGGACCGAAGGATAACGCCATAGCGGATGTAGAACAGAAGTGATGCGTCTGTGTATACTCACAGGGTGGTGTGTCTGTGTGTACACACAGAGTGGTGTGTCTGTGTATACACGCAGGGTGGTGTGTCTGTGTGTACACACAGAGTGGTGTGTCTGTGTATACTCACAGGGTGGTGTGTCTGTGTACACACACAGGGTGGTGTGTCTGTGTATACTCACAGGGTGGTGTGTCTGTGTGTACTCACAGGGTGGTGTGTCTGTGTATACACACAGGGTGATGTGTCTGTGTATACACACAGAGTGGTGTGTCTGTGTATACACACAGGGTGGTGTGTCTGTGTATACTCACAGGGTGGTGTGTCTGTGTACACACACAGGGTGGTGTGTCTGTGTATACTCACAGGGTGGTGTGTTTGTGTATACTCACAGGGTGGTGTGTCTGTGTATACTCACAGGGTGGTGTGTCTGTGTGTACGCATAGGGTGGTGTATGTGTGTACACACAGGGTGGTGTGTCTCTGTATACACACAGGGTGGTGTGTCTGTGTACACAGGGTGGTGTGTCTGTGTATACACACAGGGTGGTGTGTTTGTGTATACGCACAGGGTGGTGTGTCTGTGTATACTCACAGGGTGGTGTGTTTGTGTATACGCACAGGGTGGTGTGTCTGTGTACACAGGGTGGTGTGTCTGTGTATACACACAGGGTGGTGTGTCTGTGTATACGCACAGGGTGGTGTGTCTGTGTACACACACAGGGTGGTGTGTCTGTGTATACACACAGGATGGTGTGTCTGTGTATACTCACAGGGTGGTGTGTCTGTGTATACACACAGAGTGGTGTGTCTGTGTATACACACAGGGTGGTGTGTCTGTGTATACACACAGGGTGGTGTGTCTGTGTGTTCACACACAGGGTGGTGTGTCTGTGTGTACTCACAGGGTGGTGTGTCTGTGTGTACACACAGGGTGGTGTGTCTGTGTATACTCACAGGGTGGTGTGTCTGTGTGTACTCACAGGGTGCTGTGTCTGTGTGTTCACACACAGGGTGCTGTGTCTGTGTTCACACACAGGGTGGTGTGTCTGTGTACACACACAGGGTGGTGTGTCTGTGTATACTCACAGGGTGGTGTGTCTGTGTACACACACAGAGTGGTGTGTCTGTGTACACACACAGAGTGGTGTGTCTGTGTATACACACAGGGTGGTGTGTCTGTGTATACACACAGGGTGGGGTGTCTGTGTATACTCACAGGGTGGTGTGTCTGTGTGTACTCACAGAGTGGTGTGTCTGTGTATACACACAGGGTGGTGTGTCTGTGTATATTCACAGGGTAGTGTTTCTGTGTGTACTCACAGGGTGGTGTGTCTGTGTACACACACAGACACACCACCCTGTGTATACACACAGGGTGGTGTGTCTGTGTATACTCACAGGGTGGTGTGTCTGTGTGTACTCACAGAGTGGTGTGTCTGTGTATACACACAGGGTGGTGTGTCTGTGTACACACACAGGGTGGTGTGTCTGTGTGTACTCACAGGGTGGTGTGTCTGTGTGTACTCACAGGGTGGTGTGTCTGGGTATACTCACAGGGTGGTGTGTCTGTGTATACACACAGGGTGGTGTGTCTGTGTATCCACACAGGTGGTGTGTCTGTGTATACACACAGAGTGGTGTGTCTGTGTATACTCACAGGATGGTGTGTCTGTGTATACACACAGGGTGGGGTGTCTGTGTATACACACAGGGTGGTGTGTCTGTGTATACACACAGGGTCATGTGTCTGTGTGTACACAAAGGGTGGCGTGTCTGTGTGTTCACACACAGGGTGCTGTGTCTGTGTGTTCACACACAGGGTGGTGTGTCTGTGTGTACACACAGGGTGGTGTGCCTGTGTATACACACAGGGTGGTGTGTCTGTGTATACACACATGGTCGTGTGTCTGTGTGACTCACACAGAAGCCCCACGATCAAAACGCATTTTCAGTCAGACTGGCCCTTCGGGCATTCTACATCTGCACTTGTTTTTAAGTTATTTATGAAATGTAATGCTTCTATTCAGACTGAAAATTAACGGCATAGGCACACATTGAAGAAAATGTGGGAGTAAACAGTACAGTAACAGGAACATCAATACCCACCATTCCCCACGAAGTATAAGATACGTCACCACTTTTGCCAGGCTAGGTGCACTTTGAGGCCGCCACGAAGTGTCGACGGGTCTCACTGCTGGCCAGAAGGTGTCACGGAACAGACCCAGGTGCCGTGGGTTGACTGAGATGACTGGCAGATGCCACTGCCTGTGCTCCTTAATGTGCCACCTCGCTGGGTTTTTATCTGCCAGGGGCTCCGATCTTTGTTGTGTGTCGCTCCTCTGCCCTCATTACCAACATTTGCAATCAAAACAATACACAAACGGTACCGAGAATGTTTATGAAAGATCCATGAATCATATTAACCAGATGTGCTAGATTGGCACTGATTGTGCGTCACAGATTGATTGGCAGACGGGTTGAGTGGCACACAGTGAGTGGCATGGAGAGAGTATAGAGAGAGAGAATGGAGTGGGCGATAGAGGAGAGAGTATATATAGAGAGAGAGGACGGAGAGGACATGGAGAGCGAGAGAGAATGGAGAGCGAGAAAATGGAGAGCGAGGTCACATGGAGGGCGAGGGGGCACGGAGAGAATGGAGAGCGAGGGGGCACGGAGAGAGCGCGCTTCTCTTGACGGGCCCGGCATGGCGCTGGACAGGCACGAGTCTGCTGCAGGAGGTGGTCTTCCTGGTGAGCCACGGCACTGACGTGGACGAGAGCGCCCTCATGAACATCGACGATCACATCCCCGTGCTCGAGTACCCGCAGCCTGGCCTGGAGGCAGTAAAGGTACCCTTCCCGTGACACCCAACCGCCCCATTCCTACCCCATGCCAACATACGTACGCATACTATTTGGTTCTTTCGGTAAAGTCACGTAGGTATAAAATAAAATAAATCACGACGTTTCGATCGCAACACAAGCGGTCGTCCTCAGGCGGAAAAAAATATAATCCAGCAGTGGAACTGCTGAACCAGCGAGAGAGCTGTTACAGCAACAAGAGGTTATTTATGTGGCGATGGGCAAGCAAGCGGGGTCTGAGCTGGAAAGGAATTCCATCCACGGACGCAAGCACCTCAGTTGTGTTAATAGGGGAGATTAGGGAGAGAGGGATTAGGGAGGGAGATTAGCATGAATGAGCTTCCGTCGCCACGTAAGAGTATCATGCCCGCATATGCGCACAACAGCAGTGTTAATGAGAGATTAGCACCATGAGAGTGAAATCCAAAGGACATGTGAGCATGAGAGTGCAATACAAAGGACATGTGAGCATGAGAGTGCAATCCAAAGGGCATGTGAGCATGAGAGTGCAATCCAAAGGGCATGTGAGCATGAGAGTGCAATCCAAAGGAGATGTGAGAGATCTAAGAGAGAGACACACACATAGAGAGTCAGAAATAACAGCTAACATAGGCAGGTAGGATGGAAACATCACAGTCAGTTAAGACTTTACCTGGTTAATAACGTCCTTCCAATGATTTCTCAGTTTGTACCCATCCTCTCGGTTGAATTTTTTTATGTGTTTATATATCTGGATAACTTCATGAACAAATCTCTGAAGGTAGCCGGTAGGTTTTCACAGTACCTCCGTCTTGGAAAATATATATTTCGTGTTAGCCCACAGCGTTAAACAATGATCAGCAACGGCAGAGGTATTGGTCCTACCGTGTTTCACATCTGCCTTGTATTCACGAACCTTGACATGTCGTTTCGTTTCCCCAATGTAACTGCTGCCACAACCACAACTCAGTTTGTAGACACCAGGGTATTGCATGTCAGGAATCACGTCCTTTACAGATGGGATTAAATCACGGCTTTTGTGTACTGTGTTGAAACGAACCTGGATCTTGTGTTAGTTTAAGATTTGGGAAATCTTTTTGGTAACCCCTGCTATGTACAGTAAAGTGATGGTTTTGATTGGATCCTCAGAAGGTTGTCTCCCCATGACTGGGGAGGCAGCTTTGCGGATTGTACGGTCCGAGTATCCATTCATCTTGAAGGCTTGGTGTACCTGCTCCAACTCACTAGCTAGGTGGTGCTGGTCGGAGATGCAACGGGCCCTATGGTGTAATGTTTTGATGAGGGAATTCTTCTGGGCTTGGATGGTGGTGGGAGTCAGGCTTTAGATAGGCATCCGTGTGGGTGGCTTTCTTGTAGACCGAATGTCCCAACGAGCCATCAGGTCTTTTCTCGATCAAAACATCCAGGAATGGTAGCTTGCCATCCTTTTCCACTTCCATGGTAAAGTTGATAGACGGGTGTATGGAATTGATGTGGTTGAGAAATGGGTTCAGTGCTGGCAGGCCATGTGGCCAGATGACGAACGTGTCATCTACGTATCTCTTCCACAAGGAAGGACGTAGGGTGGATGTCTGGATGGCATCTGTCTCAAATGTCTCCATGAAAACATTCGCTACCACTGGCGATAAGGGAGAACCCATTGGGGTATCCTCATTTTATTTGTAGAATGTACCATTCCAGGTGAAGTATGTGTTGGTAAGACAGTGCCTTACCAATGTTGGTACATCTGGATTCAGTCCTTGTTGGACCAAGTCTTCAATGATTGCAATGGTGTAAAGTACAGGTACATTGGTGAACAGAGAGATTACAGGAAGAGAGGGGGTAGAGAGAGAGGGGGGGGGGGGCAGAGAGGGGGTAGAGAGAGAGGGAAGGGGTAAGGAGAGCAGAGCAAAAAATATTTTGTTAAATATTTCATTTAAAAAGGGGGGGGGGGGGGGGTGGGGGGTGGGTTACATAAAGCAAAGAATAAAAAAAAACGAAATGATGAACGAAGCAAAGTTCCGACTACACCGAGCATCTTCTGTTTTCCTCTGATCGAAAACAAAGAGAGACTACATCGAAACTGACAAGGAAATCATCTGGAGACAGTGAGATGTCCTTGATTAGAGGAACCAAGTGAGCTGAGATAAGTACAGCTGAGGTGGACTTGCCCGTGAAAGGAAGCAGGGTCTCAGACAGAAATCGGGCTAGTTTGTAGGTGGGTGAGTTAATGGTGGAGACGATAGGACGTATGTTGAACTTCTTTCGCACCGTACGTAGCCAACTGTGCTAATCGTAGGTGCTTGGGAAGGACAACAAACTAAACACACGCAAAATTGGACCGGTGTCATGCCGTGTGTGCACTCAGCCGCATGTGCCTCATCGTTCGTTGTGGCCATGCACGTGGCTTGTGACCCACTGCTGTGGAGGCAATAGCGAGGGTTGGTGGATCACGCAAAGATGGTTGCGAAACTCGCTTCCCGTGGGCGTCGAGGAGGAGCCGTGCCCTGGCTCGCCAAAAGGCAGTATTACAAAGCACGGGCTAATCTCCATCGGTTCCATCTGTATGTGGATCGAGCGTTGCCCCCTCGCACACGTGGGGTTTTCTATGGGCCCTCCGGTTTTCTCCCACATGTAAACACATTAATTGGCCTGTACGCCCTTTAATATCTAGATGACCTCAGAGCTCGGGCAATTGTTGGCGCCGGCTCAATCGTGTGGCTGCTTTCCCTCCACAGTTCCTTCGCACGCTTCTGAGTCGTTCTCTTGTGCGAGAGCGAGCAAATCCCATGCTGCGCGTTACAAGCTGAAATCATTATCCTCCTTGGTTCTTTCGGTAACGTCACGTAGAAAAGAAAATAAATTCGGCGAAGAACGTCACTTTACCGACAGAACCCAAGAGTAATTCCTGCAGCCGCGAAAGCTTCGAATAATTATTGTTATCAATATCGTGACCTTGTGCTCGCACGCTTGTGAACGTTGCTGCGCTGCAGGTGCTGCCATCTCCCCGCATCATCAAGAGCCACCTGCCCTACCAGTTCCTGCCCAAGGAGCTGCAGGACGGAAAGGCCCGGGTAATTGAGGGCGAGCGTGGCCTCCAAAGGGCTTGGAGCATCGCCAGGATAGGCGATGTTGAGATGCTTCAACGAGCGCTGTTGAAGAGCGCTGTGCAATATATTTATAAAAATACAAATGTAAAAATACGGCACACAGAGAGCCCGAGCAAAGCTCATGCTCGCTGAATTCCATACAACGGATAGGTCAAATGCAATAGCTCTAGAATTAAAAGTGCACATAAGTGCACCATCTCCGAAAGCGGTGTTCTTCATTGCAAGGCCCCACGGTGGCCACTGGTGGCCACCTTGTGGCCTTTACTGCGGTGCCTGACAATACATGAATGTGAAAACACCATCCATTATCGTGCTGCTGTCAAACCATAGCGGTTTCAAATGTGTGGCGGCCCTCATACTGATGACGTCTTAGGGGCCGTCCATAAATGACGTCATGCGATTTTGGCCGATTTTTGACCCCCCCTCTCCTCCCCTCGTCACACGGCGTCACAAAAAGTCAGACCCCCCTCAAATATGACGTCACACAGCTCTGCCCCCCCCCTAAAACCATATTTCCATTTTGAAAATAAAACGTGCTTCAAATAACTTTAAACTATTGTCATTGTAGTGCGTATTTAATGTGGCGCTGTACACTGATGTTGTAGGAGAAAACATTTATTAAAAAGGAAGCGTGGAAAGCTGAAATTTAGCATACATTTTACTTGAAAAAAATCCATGTCTAACTAAAACTGCAGATGTTCAGAATATTATGTTGAAATTCTCTTATATTTATAAAATATTAAAAGTAATAACTATTAAAAAATACTTGAAACTTTGTAGTAGAACGAAGCAAAATGGAGAGTACACTTATAACAATCACATATTCATTTCACAGAATGAAAAGCCCTGGTAGAATCGTTAGAATTAAAATGTATAATAACAATAATTCAAAAAATTTACAAAATTTATGCTTCTCAATTCTCCCATGGAGAAGCAAAATGCTCCTTCATGGAAAAAATTATTGGTAACCTTAGTAAATTTGAATAATAAAGTAGTTAATAATAAAAATTAATAAAAATTTGTTTTGTTATAACAATTCAATTTAATTGTTTATTTAAAGTTGCGCATTTTTATGTAACGTCACATTTCTCAAACCAACCCCCTCCCCCCCTCGTGACGTCATTTAAGGACGGCCCCTTATCGGCCAAAGTGCCCCCCCTTTGAGGATTAGCGAAGAACACCATCCTACAGCAAGCAGCTTAGCGCTCAAAGTTTTTTTTGCAAATAATTTTCATTATTTCGGTAATCTTAACCGGCTTAGCCCGAATTTTGGGAGGGGTTTATTTCCCAGGGTTGTAATTGTATGTTTACAGCAGGAAACCCAGAGCTGCAGGTCTCTGTTGAATACTCCTGTGGGAAATGCGTGCTCTTCATTGAGCTAAGTCACCCGACCCCTTGCCGTGACAATACGTGGGTATCCACAGCCCGGCACGTATCAATATTGAACGGCGTTGCCACGCGTACTAATGCGTAGATCTCCTCCAACTACGACGTTCTGTGCTTCCCTATTAAACGTGGAACTTGGGCTGTGAGCCCAATGGTTCCAACGACATGCCAACGTTGGGCCAACGTTGAACTAACCACATGCCAACGTTGGACCAACGTTGATCTAACCACATGCCAACGTTCGCCTGACGTCCGTCTATTTATGCGTCCCACGGCTAGTCGGCGGTGACGCGCGGTAATGTCGGCACGTGCCCGTGGCGCTGCAGCTCGTGTACATGGCCAGGAACCCCAAGGACCTGGTGGTCTCCTACTACCAGTTCCACCGCTCGCTGCGCTCCATGAGCTACCGGGGCACCTTCCAGGACTTCTGCCGCCGTTTCATCTACGACAAACGTGAGAGCCGCCATGCCGCCTCTCACCCACCCACGATCCGCTGCGCCTGTGCCGCCAAGCTCCGGAAGCGTTTGTCTATGATCCCCTGCCGATACCTCCCTCGCAAAGAGAAAATATCCCCCGTGTAGCCTTATCAGACTGTCGGGGCAAGTGCTGTTAGCGAGCAGCTATGAAGGCCGGCACTTCGCATGAGGGCGTTGGTGGCCAACACCACGCCCGGCAGCCTTTGTCTCCCCAGTGGAAATATTTACACACTGCACCAGGTACTCATTTGAGGCTGAGTCGACCTAGAGGAGGCCCAGGACTGGTTCAGATGAACGATGAACGTCGCTGGTCTTGTCCATGAGCGGGATTCGAACTCGGGACGCCAGGTACATAGCGCAGCGCGCTAACCGCAACAACACCACCGCTCCCCTTATTACTCCCCGCCTCCCCACTTTGCCTGCACCATCGCTGCCTCCTTTAGTTGCTGTCCCGGCACAACTCTTTTGGCTGACCATCAAACGATAATGGTCACAGCAATCGCGCACTTTCAGATGCTTGCCTGCGGCCGTCTGGAACGCGCGTACTTCCGATATTAGCAAAGCCACTGGAGCTGTGCATTTTAAAATCTAAATTGAAAACGAATTTCTTCAGAACTGCTTTTGTGTTTAGTTTGTTGTCCTTCCTGCGCACAACTAATTAGCATGGTTGTATGTATCTTCTTTTGCACCATATATAGCCAATCGTGCAAATCAGAGGTGCGAAAAACGTTCAACCGATATACATACTTATACTATATCTGTGACTCGGTATCCCTTGCCTGCAGTCCATCCATGAAGGACATCACAGGCTCGTCAAATCCGTTGTGAATCTCTTCTCGAGGCTGAGATTTTGGCAGTCCCTGGCAGTGTTGGCTCTAGGGTCCAACGACCGTGCTAACATCAAATCCGGGTCGAACTCTGGGGGGTCACCGCTGAAGCCGTCCCTTGGCAGCTGCGCCCTCCCCTGGTGGCCATGCCACCCGCGGCCTTACAGCAACGTGAACGGAGCGCCCACTCTCTCTCCCGGTTGGCGTGGGCCCAACGCCACGGCATTCCCTTCTGCGTCTCATGCCTCGCTCACAATTCACATCCTGGAGCTCTGTAAATGCGGCGGCAATACTCTTGTCAAAAGCCTTAATAGCGCAATCAACTTTTTGGCAATTAGAAATTTCCCCATTGAAAATGCCCCAAAATATTTCGTGTGAGCAGAAGAACGTACGGCGAGAGCAGATTTTGATGGGACGCAAATTGGGCTTCATGTGCATTTAATTTCTTCATGACAAATACTCCGCAAGTCGTATTTCGGGAGGCCGTTGCCTTGGGGAGGCCTTCATTCAACTGCAGAATAACCATGGCCGATGACAATGATGGAAAGCGAATACCATTCAAACAAGCCAGAAAGCTATCTTGGTACAGCTGTTGTATGTACAATGCTTTGTGTTCAATTAACAAAGAGGCATATTAACTATCTGCTGTCTCCTTCTCTCTTTCGTCCATGCTTTCCCTCTGCCGGCACCACCACCACCACCACCTCCTGCTGCTGCTGCCAGTGGGCTACGGATCGTGGTTCGAGCACGTGCAGGACTTCTGGGCGCACCGCAATGATGAAAACATCCTCTTCGTGAAATACGAGGACTTGCACATGGTTTGTGCTGCAGCGCCCAAGCGCACGTTGTCTTCGCGTTGCGCGGCAAAATAGCCGGGCGGTGGTGGTGAAGGCTTCCACTCGCCTGGTATGCAGGAGGGTCGTGGGTTCAATCCCGACCCTGACACCTGGATATTTGGAGTTTGCATGTTCTCCCTGTGATCACGTGGATTTTTCTCCACCACACCTGTCACAGAGTGAGACTTTAAGCGGCTAAAAATGGTGCTTCTGGTAATTCAGTGTAGATGCATGCGGACGATGCTAGGAATTCAGACTTGGATGTTTAGAATACAATATGGGAATACAGCATTGTAGATGCAATGAGAAAGAAGTTGTTCTGGGTGGGACACGCGTGTAGAGTGGAAGATAGGGTAAGCAACTTGTAGGTTGAGCGGTGGCACAGTGGTTCACGCACTGCGGTGTATGAACCCAGCGATTCACACCCACCTCCTTACCTACCCACCCACTCCTGTTGGGGTTGGGTCGTGGGCATAAGATGTCAACTACAGCGAGAACCCTGTACTTCCCGACACGGCCGGGCAAATCGAGTGGTCACGTGATATCGCTTGTCAGCGCACCTGGCGGATCGTCATGTTGCAACGCACGTCGGCATCTGCTCAAGGGCCCGGATCGGAAAGCACATTCGCTCCAGCGCCGAGCTCCTGCCGACGCCTGATGACGCTGCGCATAATCTCCAAAATCCTCAACATAATGCTCGCTTTTCAACGTAACCAGATTTGCTGGAAAAAAACGCATTAAATCGTCACATTAGTTAGCCTGTTTCAGGTGGTGGAGGGTTCTCGCTCTGATATGACACCCACACGAAGGTCTAAGCCCAAGAGAGACCAATCATGATTCGGTAATGACGACCGATTTCTGGGCTTGTTTGCAATTCCGACCGCCGCGGCACACGACCGTTCGTTGCGTGCCATCCGTGGGGAAGTATTTCAGGAGGAGGAGGGGGAGGAGGAGCATCGGAATTTGACCGTTTACTGCTGTCGGTACTGCAGGACCTGCCCAGGGTCCTCGGGAGGCTCTCCTCCTTCCTGGGCGTCTCCTATGAGCGAGCGCACCTGGAGGGCATGGTCGCCTACTGCCAGCAAATCATCGACCACTGCTGCAACACCGACGCACTGCCCATCAGCCGAGGTGCCGCCCCGACCCCCCTCCACCCCTCCTCGCCCTCGCCCCCTGCCCCCCCGCCCTTGACCCCAAGCCGGAACACGCAGACTGCGTAGCACCTACCATTAGCACGGTTGGTTACGTATGGTGCAAACAAATTTCAACATCCATACACACAGACATCTCCTAAAACGTCTCTCATTCACCCTCTTATTACAATCGGATGTAGAAGCTTTATGTCAGCTCCTCCTTTTCTTCCTGGAGCATTAGGCTGAAGAATATGGCGAAGGGTGTATGTGCCAGCACGCAACCTTGCTTGACCCCATTGTTGAGCCTAGCAGCTCTGTTACAATGACCACCACAGCCTAGGACTGTCAACATTGGCAGGAGCTACAGGGACATGGCTCAGATGTCAAGGGACATAAGCCAATCACGTGAACTCGCAGACGCTTTTGGCTAGCCATGGAACAAAGACGGTCACCGCATTGCACGCTTTCAGTTTTTTCCAATATTAGGAAGCCACATGCACTTTTAAATCACATAAATTGAAAACAAATTTCTTTAGATATGCTTTCTGTTTAGTTTTTTGTCCTTCCCCAGCATCTCCGACTAGAATGTTTGGCTGTGTACAGTATGAAACAAGTTAAAAATTCATACACATACAGGATGTGGATGATTGTTTTATTTGTAAGTTTTAGTGATTTGTTTACCTTGCTTGCACTTTGCACTCCTATCGTGTTTTTGTGTTAATTGTTGTTGTAACATGTTCACCCGCCCCTACTGGACATCCGTGAAAAAGAGCTTGATAGCTCATCAGATTTCTCCAATATAAATAATATTCTGATTCTGAATGTACCAACTCACAATGAACAACAACATATTTTTTTACACAAAACATTCACACTATGGAGTATGTGTGGTTAATGCAGATGTGGTGCCTTGTAATAGGTATCCATTTGGTGTTTGAACATCTTCGGACGGGGGGGGGTGGGTAGGCGCCACGGTGATCCTGACGATGCCTGTATAGTGTGAGTTTGCATGCATAAATGTATGTGGAGCTTGTTTCGCACCGTACGTAGCCAACCGTGTTGCTCGGAGGTGCAGGGGAGGAAAACAAACTAAACACAAAAAGCAGTTTTAAATAAATAATTTTTCAATCTAGATTTAAAAGTGCATAGCTCCAGTGGCTTCGTAATATCAGAAGGAAGAGTGCTCCAGACGCTGTGAGGATGACCAGAGTTTGCGTGATGGTTTATGTTCTCTGACGAGATCAGCAGGCTATTTTGATTCATTTGTGGCAAGCACTTTGTGTGTAATGACCACTATCTTATAACATATACATTCGGCAACCGGAAGCCAATGTGACTCGGCGAGCACTAGACGGAGACGGTTGGATCTTGCAGTACGTCGCTATACGTGCCAAGTAATTTTGTATATGCTGCAGTTTGGTAATGTTTTTGGCAGACGTCCCAGAGTAGTGAGTTGCAATAATTGAGCCTTGTCGTTACTATGCTACTACACGACACCGCGGTGGCTATGTCACGAGTCAATAGTCGTCAAATGTGTCGTAGATCCCTGATATGAAAGTTTCAGGACCTAACGATATTTTTCACGTGGTGATAAAACGACATTTTGGTCGAGTATGGTGCCAAGGCTCTTTAGATGAGTAGAATACTGAATCCTGGAGTCTGCGACCGCCACACTCGATCCTCTCATATTTTTTTCGCCCGAGTACCAACAGCGGCTTTTGCATGTCACTCTCCTCATAGTCACGTGGATTTTTCTCCAGGTCCTCCGGTTTTCCCCTCCACATGTAGAAACAACGTGCGTTTAAAGTATTTGGCTGATAAACATTCCCACGTAAGCCACTTCGTTGAGCTATCATCTGTGGCCAGGTCGCTTCTGAAAAAAGAGCTATATAGCTTAGTGGGCTTTACCTGGTAAAATATTTTGTATATAGTTTATTGTATTAACTTAATGTTTTTTAAACAATTGAGTGCTTGCGCCACGTCTGAGCAAGCGAGGCCAGTTCTCCACTGTGGTTGATAAAAAATATCATTACAAACCCCTCTGCGTGACATCGACCGTAGTTGTACAAAATGATACACAAGCAGAACACAACCTCAGTATTGGTTTTTGGACCGAGTAATTACTTTGGGTCAAGTTCAGGTCGATGAAGTAGTCTTTAACATTCCCGGAGTTTGTAAGATTCGTTTATTTTCACAATCATTGTGTATCATTGTGGAATATACAAAACAAAATAAGCAGACAATATCTCCTGCATATGCCTCTCCCCACAATCTATTTTTAAAGTATTTGTCCTCACACAACCCATCAGCCGCATGGCGTTATGGTTGTGCATACGGTCATCAGTGTTTTGCTTGTCTTGAATCAATGCTGCTGATATTAATCACTTTCAGGTTGGGTTGTTTCAGGAGCAGTCCTTTCATTTTTTTGCATGGAGAGACAGATATATATAGTCTATTCACCTATTTTGTAATTTTCCCAAGTTTAAACCCTTTTAACTGAACCATTTTTGTTTTGTTTCTCCACTTTGCAGTCGGAAGCCTGCAGCAAGGTACGGCGACACGTCTCCCTATGTTCGATTTCATCAGCAACGCAACCGACATCAACTTAAACTTTTCAAAGATGCACTCTCCTCCTACTAACCATATTATTTAAAGCAGAGTTCAGGGGTGCTGCTTATATTCATGTACGTGTGTGTGACCGGATCTGTATAACTTTATTAACACCAGGCACAAGCGTTAAGTGCATCTGACTTTCAGAAGCGTCTTATAATCCGGAGAATACAGTAATAGTAATTATATGTACTGTAGTTTTATATACTGTACAGAATATCTTACAATCGCCGAGAAACCACAGCCAAAGCAGCAAGGCAGCAGCCATGGTGGTGAGCCGGCGCTACCGTCAATTTCCCAAGCTCTGCAGTCCTCTATACATGAAGATGTTTTCAGCCAATTAATTAGTATAACACGTAGGCTTTCGCTACCAATATCATTAATAATATCGTTTTTTGGGGGGTTATATCGTGTAAATCTGAGCACAGATTGTAAATGTGTACTCATATTGTAAATGTTGTGGATTTGCTCTCCAACACCCCGGTGTGCTGTACTCGTGTTGTGACCGACTTGGAGACGTAACTTCTTGGAGGCAATTCGTTAATCAAACACCGAGCACACCTTGTACACTATATACAATACACACCCTACACCAGGGGTCGGGAACCTTTTTGACTAAGAGAGCCATGAAAGCAAAAAATTTGGAAATTTATTTCAGTGAGAGCCATATAATATATTTTAAAAGTGAATTCAACTAAATGTCAGTATAATAAGCCTCTGAATTTATTCTTTTAAATAATGTTGTTATAACACTCACCATTAATGCGACTTCTGGTGCTGCATGGATTTGCTGATGTCTTTGTAGTCGGGTTGGTACTTGGTGAGGTTAAGCTTCATGCAAGCGTTGAGGCTTTCATCCGTTAAACGTGATCGTAGGTTGGACTTGATGTTTTTAAGATGTGAGAATGACTGCTCACATGCATACGTAGATCCAAACATGGTCAATACAGCAATACTCACACGCTGCAGTGTGTGGTATGTGACAGGAAGCGCGTTCCAAGTTTTGAGAATCAGCTGGTCTTCGGGTTGGAGTTTTTTCATTTCTGTCCACATGTGCTTGCTCGCCAACTCCGCTTTCTGTCGTGTGATTCTTTCCAAATCTTCATTCAGTGACTTGAACTTATTCACCCACATGTCTGAGGCCTTCAGGTCAGCCACTTCTGCTTCAAAATCTCTGACGGAGACACCAGGGATGTAATTCAGGTCGGCTGTGTTCAGTGAACACTCGTTTGGATGGGTGATGAACTTAAAAAGACGAGTGTGCTCACGAAATTCTCCAAAGCGTGCTTTGAAGGACTGTAGGAGACTGGATGTGCAGCCAGCTAGCTGGTGGAGATCAAGGTTTTGAATGGGCTCACTTGCTGTGCATGCATCTTTAAATTGGCTCAGTTTTTCAAAATGTAGTAAACGACCTGTTTCAAGATCCGTGATGAAAAGCTCCAGCTTGTTTTCAAAAGCAAATACAGCTTGTTGAAGGGATAACACTGTATTTCCAATGCCTTGCATTTTCACGTTGAGCTGGTTCAGATGTTCAGTCAGATCTACGAGATAGTAAAACTTGAGGAGCCACTCGGTGTCGGCTAGCTCAGGATGCCCGACGCCTTTCATTTCAAGGAAAGTCCGGATTTCGTTCAGGCAAGCCGCAAAAACGGCTAAGCACCTTCCCTCTTGACAACCAACGCACATTGCTGTGCAAAAGCAGACCAGGATAGTTATTTACAACTTCATCCAGCAGTGTTTTAAACTGGCGATCATTTAAGGCTCGGGCAACAATAAAGTTGATCACACGAATGACCAGCGACATCACTTCGCCAAACTGCCTGTCACACATCTGAGCACAAAGTGCCTCCTGGTGTATAATGCAATGGAAACTTAGGATGGGTCTATTTTCATGTTCACGGAGAAGCGCCACAAATCCTTTGTTTTTCCCCACCATACACGGAGCACCATCAGTACACACTGTGAGAAGTTTATCCATAGGTAGACTTTTTTCTTGAGCAAACTCCATGAAAGACTTGAATAAATCCTCACCTCTTGTGGACCCTTTTAATGGCAGAACAGCAAGACTTTCTTCGCGCAGTGTGTCACCAACAGCATATCTTGCAATCACGCTGAACTGCGACAAATGGCTCACGTCTGTTGACTCATCCAAAGCCAGAGAAAAGAACGGCGCTGCATTTATGTCCTTCACTTGCGTTTCCTCCACTTTGTTTGCCATCACGATGGTACGATCATGAACAGTTCTTGCCGACAGAGGCATGTCTTGTATCCGTTTGATTATCTTGTCTTTGTTCGGAAGATCATCAAAAAGTTCATTGGCTACATCCAGCATGAACGTTTTAGCATACTCGCCATCTGTGAATGGTTTTCCGTTCCTCACTATTGCTAAAGAACCAGCAAAGCTAGCCGAATTATAGTCACCTTGCCGGGTCCATACGCGGAGTTGCTGCTGGCTAGCTTGCACCCTGCTCAGAAGCTCTTGGCACGCTTTCTTTCTGCTGTCTCCCGCAGGGTATTTTGATGCAAAGGTAGCGTGGCGCGTGTCGAAGTGCCGCTTTACATTCGACCGTTTCAACGATGTAATTTTGTCATTGCAAATTAGACACACCGCAGAACCCGCTCTCTCCACAAAGGCGAATTCTTCGGTCCATTCGTCCTGAAATGTACGATACTCGTCGTCTTTTTTTCTTTTCGCCATCTTCTTCGTCGAAGGGTTAGCTTTGAGCTAATGACCGAGCAGACGCAGTCTCAGATTGATTCAAAAGGGGGCGTTTACCTGTTTTACCCAGCAACGGCAAACGTAGGCCAGTATCATCCAATTAAAATAATGGACAATTGCTCCTGCAGCCCTGAACAGGACATGCGCAGTGAAAAATCGATGGATGGATTAAAACAAGTGAGAATATTTTGTTTTATCTGCGAGCCATATGCAATCATCAAAAGAGCCACATCTGGCTCGCGAGCCATAGGTTCCCGACCCCTGCCCTACACTGTTGCACACTCTGTCTCTAGCTTATACGCAACTCTACAATGGTTGCTAGCCTACAGACAACGCGAGCCGTCCGACACTGACGGCGCTAAACTAAGACAGCCAACTACGTCTAGCAGCGCAATTATCAAGTGGAGACGACAGCGGCGATGGTGACGACCTTCAGCAGCAACGACAAGGATCCCACTCCAAACAACTGCCCCGAGCTCCCGCTCGGAGTCCCCTTTTATTCTGTTAGCGTGGCCTCACTCCACCCCGGCCACGCCCCCCTTCTGGAACTACTAGCGGGCTCTCGACGTGTCCCTTCCATAACTTTTACCCTAGATCCCTCTCGGGTCTATCACGTGGCCTGCTGTCAGTCAGGGCTGCTTCAAGCTGCAGATCCCCTTCCCTGCCAGCAGCCAGCGCTATGCTACTTAGTGACCAATTCTATGTCAGTACACCAGTAATGAATTGGCATGTTCCGTTTATGTGAAAAACCTGACTAATTGGTTGTGTCGAGTGGTGTCGGGTGGTGTCGGGTTTAACGACACACATTTACGCGATCTAACCCGAAAACACACTATATTATGAATGAATGAGTATTTAAGCATGTTGGAGCCTAAATGGATGTTTGCAAACAGCCACAAAAGGCCGTGGTGGGTATTACAATTAAAACAAGTTCCACTGGCCGAGTGGCACCAGGTGCCATCCCCTCAAGTGAACGTGAAATCGTTTGAGTTAACGTTGGTCCAAGGTTCCAAACCGCATGCCAACGTAGGTCCGACGTCGGCTTGGTTGATGCGATTGTAGTCTTCGCGCGTCTCCCCCCGGCGGGCTTGCGTGCAGGCCGCGTGGGTCTCTGGAAGGACATCTTCACCGTCTCCATGAACGAACGCTTCGACAGCGTCTACCGCCAGAAGCTGGGCAAGTCGGACCTCACCTTCGACTTCCAGGTGTAGAGTTGGCCGAGCGTTGCCACCGCCAGCCGCGTCGCGGCCTCCAGATGGGCCACGCTCGTACCCACCGCTACTCTCAGACCATCTCCAGGCTACTTTACGACGCGTGTATTAACGACGATAACAATCGGGCACATTTGCTATTTCGTGACGCTATTTAAAGAGCAAGGCGACTGTCGTGACAAAGGCGCTACGTTCCACATAGTAGGGAGGCAGTGTTGCTATGTGTAACCCAAATTGAGAAATGTTAGTAATAACTCAAATTTGGACCAATTTATCAGTGGAAGTTTCAAATGTAGCTATTGTTTAACCAGATGAGTTCAAGTTCGTTTTGTATAACCAGGTGACAATTTAAGAGATTGGGATACAGTAATACCTCGGTTAACGATGTAGATGCATTCCATGATGTCACTTCGTTATCAGAAACTCGTTACCAAAGGTCAAAGAAATGGATTTCCACGCTGCACTTCTTGCCCAGTAAGGCCACTAGCACGAGATTTTCGTTGTTTGGATGACAATGGGGTTAGTAAAATCACTTTAAAACTGTAAAAACCACGATAACGTTTCACCAACGCAAGGAGCTTGAGCAATGGCGGAGGGAAGAGCGGGAAGCGCGCCGCTAATTGCGCCTCGTGAGGGGGGATTTCCGAAGCTCTTCGCCGATTGGCTGCTGATCATGTACAGGACATAAACCCCACTCGGTTGTGTCTACAGGACACACGCAGAATTTAAAAGTGTTCTTTGTTGCAAGGCCTGCGGGCCTAAGGTGGCCCCTGGTGGCCTTTAGTGCGGCCTCCAACGTCGGGCCCCCGACAATACACAAATCTGAGAATGAGTGGCGGCCCTCACACTGGTATCTTATCGGCGAAAGTGGCCCCCCTCTGCAAATGTGTGAATACGGATTTAAAGCGTCACTCTTTTAAATTTATTTGCATCATTTCTGAATATATTTTTTCTATTATTTTTTTGGCAACAATAGGGGGGGTCGAAGGAACCCCCTCCACGGCCGACTTCGTTATCAAGAAAATTCGTTCCCAGAGGATTCGTTAACCGAGGTATTACTGAGTCTAATTTGCAACAGTGACATGCGGCATTAGTCTGCCAAGAGGGGGTGATCATTGCTGCTGTGTAAGTCCCAGTTTAGTAATTTGCGGTGTCATCCTCACATTTGGAAAAATTTTGATCTGGACAACAGCACATGATGGCCGAGTGTCACAAATAACGTCACGGTAATGGCTTTTTCATAGCACCATTTATGAAGGGCCATTGCCCAAAACGTCACAATATATTTCTTATTATTTGTTCTTATGCATCACTGACAGGTAATGTGTTTAACTGTTTGCGCAGCGGGTGTCACAGCCTTTCCCCAAATGGCACTGTACGAGTCAGAATCTGCAATCTCTCTGGATGACAGTTTGCCAGCGTGTCGTGGCAAATGTGGAACTGTCGAATTGTGATTCCCGTTTGTGCAGCTCGAGAACGGATGCCTTCAAAGATTTAGAGGTAAATCAAGCAGATGGATGATCAAGAGAACCATGTTACCGGATCATACCAGTTTCCCAGTTAACATGGAACTTTGGGCCAACCACATGGCATCGTTGGGCCAAACACATGCCAATGTTGGCCCAACGTTGCATGTGTATTGGGCTCTTATCCTTCACAACTTTAATAGGACTATTTTTGCCAGCCGCTTAGTGTTTTGGGCCTGTGGTGCCGAGCTCGGCAACAGTAAAGACAAACGTATATAGGCGGTCCCTGCTTTTACGATATCACAATGGTAACCCCGTCGTAAATCTAACCACTATTTTCCCATAGATGGTAACCAGTAGAAACACCACTTGCCGATTTGTTTTTCCTTTTATAGGCCATAATTAACAGGGTTTAACAGGTAAACATCCACAAAAACACTTATAACCAGACTATGGTCAAATATGTTTGAAGTGGTGTCGGAAGATGCATCGTAAATAAAGTTCCTGTGTCGTAAATCAATGGTGGCATTATATAAACGTAAATGTGGACCATCGTACATCGAAGATTACATATATTTGTTCTGGGAAATGCAGTAACACAGTCCAGGACAACGTCCCAAATCTCAGACACCACAACTCGACACCATCGCACACCTACACGTACATTCGTTAGCACCGGTGATCATCCCCTCTTATATTGTTTGCCTGGCAAGAAAGGTTTACCATTGTTTATGCAGAACAAAGAGACTGATTTATAAAAAAAAATATCACAGCTCCAAGTGAAATTATAATTAATGAGCGTCAATGGAGGACAGAAGTACTGTCGTGTAGTCGACCCGTTGAGACACACGATACTTTACCTCCTGCAAGGGCGACCAGCAGTACTTTTTGGCTGGAACATGTACTGCGACTCACCAGTGGATCACTAGAGATTCTGTTGTGGGTCTCGTGACAGATCAGAACAAACACCGACATCGTTAGCGCACAACAGTTTCCGCTACAGCCGACGGCAAGTAAAAATTCGCCAATAAAAATTACTACAGTAATTACTACGTTCAAAGTATGATAACTTGCACCAACGCAAGGTGCCCCTACTTGCTACGTCTGTCGTATATCACAGGGTTAAATCCACCCGCTTATTCGTCGTAGATTTCTGGTGGTGGTGGATCATCGCGGAGGAGCAATTTGAGATCCACCGGAACGGATCGTCGCAATGCTTTGTGCATTGGTTACCGCTGCTTTAAGGCGCTGCTGGACCGCCTGCGGGAAATGTTGATGTTGAACTGCACCAGCCTGCAGAAGCTAGCTACACTCAGCTAACAGACACCAAAGTACAAACCTGGAAATAATGCATTGCTTTCCCCTGCCTGAAGAATGAGCGTTCTGTCCAGAATGCATTTTCCCCCAATTATGGTTTGCTAAACTAGATGTGTGTGCGTGCAGTAATCTAGCCATCAGCTTAAGCCTCCCATAAACCACGTGATTTGTGTGTGGTCAGCCCCACTCTGAACCTCTCCCCACCGCTTGCTGTGAGAACAGGTGCCACTCTTCCTTCATGCAGCAGCGGCGTGCGAGACCCTGATGTAGCCTCCTCCTCCTCCCTCTCATCTCTCCTGAACCCTTGGCTCCCGTTTCTTCGATCCTTTTTCTCTCGATCCCATTCCTCAGTTTAACACGTAGGCTTTCGCGACCAATATTATTCATATTAAAGGTTTTTGGGTTAGATCGCGTTATTTATAAATGTGTCGTAACCCTCCACCACCCGACACGGCCAATCAGCAAAAAAAGTGTCACGTTGACAAAAGACAAATAATTCACTACTTTAGCCCACCGGTGTGTTGAAGAGTGAATCCACAACATTTACAGTTTGAGTACGACGTTTCGCTGGTAATTTACATCCAGCATCATCGGGCAATTCGCGAATTTTATTTGACAAAAGACAAATAATTCACTACTTTAGCCCACCGGTGTGTTGAAGAGTGAATCCACAACATTTGCAGTTTGAGTACGACTGTAAATGTTGTGGATTCACTCTTCAACACACCGGTGGGCTAAAGTAGTGAATTATTTGTTTTTTGTCAACGTGACACTTTTTTGCTGATTGGCCGTGTTGGGTGGTGGAGGGTTACGACACATTTATAAATAACACGATCCAACCCAAAAAAACCTTTATTATGAATCCCATTCCTTCTCTGCTCTTTTCCTTTTTCCCCTAGATTTATTTTCCCACGAATTCTATCCTTGACTCTCATTCACTTCCCGTGCTGCGTGCCACGGGTTATAAAGTATTGTGCAGTGGGTAATTGCGCCAAACGTAAAGCTGGAGTTTTGTCTTTTGAGATGTGTGCTTTCCACGTGTGCCCTCTTTGCCGACAGGTGCTGTATTTACTTCCTGTGACTCAAAGTGTTGTGAGGAATTCTTCGACAAACTGCGGTGCATATTGTCGTGGTCACGTAGAGCTGCTTGTAATGGTATACGTGTACAGTGTATGTATATAAAGTATATCAACCTATATTCAACGCGAGTGGGCTCTGGTGACCAATATGATTCACACAAAGATCGTCGCGCGAGTTAAAATTCCAAAGCATGTTGGTTGGCAGAGAGCGTATGACACACATCAGCGTTTTACTCGCGCTATCTCGCCCGAAACGCAATCACGAATGAGCTTATATTTAATTTGCAAATTCCGTCGCGCTTGTTTTAGCAGGTCGAACTATTTTTATTTAACAAATTATGTAGGTTCTCACATATCAACAACGGTGGTCGAAATGTACGGTATTGTGTAGGTGTCAGTGATGACACCCGAGCGTGCTGCGACAGCTCCTGACCACTGACCGTTTCCTCTAACGCGTAAACATCGCGGTACAGGAATCGGAACCGTTCTGAATAGTGCTGGTGACACACGCGCGCTTGGTCTTGAGAGAAGTGGCGGTATGGTGTACCGGCATACACTGGTACGTTTCCACCACAGCATTATCAACAGTTTTTTGTTTGTTATATAATTACTGCCGATAACTAATGGGCCTTGGGCTATGCCATACATTAGTGCGGTGAGGTTTTTTTTAATATATAATTTTTTTTTATTAAAACCCAACGCGAGCCCGGTACAAAGCGCTGATCACAGAACGGAGGAGGAACAAAAATTCCACGAACAAAAACAGCAACCCGAATTGGATGCGGTAGGGCCGAGTAAAGGGGGATAATTGGTGCATTGCCCCACCCAGGTGGGCACCACGAGCGAGGGCATGAACGTTTATATGGCAGTGCGATTATGTTTTTAACCAACGCTGGTGAGGTGTGCTTCTTCAATGTTTTGAAAGTCGTGCTGTTCAAGTGAGACATTAGCTGCGAAAGGGAACACGAGTGCGCTGTAATCATGGCCGAGACAAAGTGCTTTAAAATTGTGGGCGCACTCTTCAGCGCCCTCCATGCGGTTGCCTGGCCTGCAGGAGTTTAGTTTCGTAGGCTGGACCATGTACAGTGGCGGGGACCACCTGCCCTTAGCCCACAAGTCTAAACAGATACAGAATTTGCTGCAGCCCAAACTGTCGGAAAATTGACGCCTTATCCAAAGTCCGATAAGTTTCCTAGGTTGACAAATCGTTTACTCGTAATTTGCAAACTTAAACTGACGAGGTTTTTTCCCAGAGTCCGCTGCTGATCAATGTAGTACTGTAGGAGTTAAAGGTAGAGACCCGGAAAATATGCAACGTTGGGCCAATGTTGGCATATGTTGGGAACCATCAGACCAACGTTGGCCTAACGTTGACCCAACGTTCCATGTTTACTGGGTATGAGGAGTGCCCAATGAGCTTCAAAATTCAGCTTCCCGAGACTCAATCTATCGTGAAAGTGCACTTGTACGTAAAGTCAAAAGCTCTGTGGCTTCTGTAAGATTTTGTTGAAACTATGAAAACCTCATAAACAAAAAAAGGCTACACTTGTTCATCATGTGTTGTTTTTTTGTACGCACGACAAACACCACTCGCCACCGATCTTATCCATGGCCACAAAAATCAAACTCGAGTTGCCAGGTTCATAGTCTAGTGCATTAACCACTGCGCTACCATTCCACCTGTGGGTATTGCATATTGCCTTCATATGGCCCTATAGTTTTTGGCTACATCTGATATGACTGCTTCCGAGTGTGAGAAAACCACTAATAACACTGGTGTGACTATTAGTTAAGAGCAACTTTGTACCCGTGCCACACCATGGGAAAGGGAGAAAAGTCAAAGATAGAATGTATGGGAAAAACAAAAATATTGAATAGGGAAAAAAGAGAAACAATGGGAAATCAAAAGTTAAATTATAAAAGGAACAAAGACACGGGAGCCAAGAGTTCAGGAGAGATGAGAGGGAGGAGGAAGAGGCAGGGAGGGGGTTCAGCTTAGGGGTGGCCATACAGAAGCCACATCATTTAGGGGAGGCTTGAGCTGATTTAGACAGATTCTATTACTACCAGTAACACGAGTAACACTATTTGTACTCGGGTGGTGTAATCCAGCATGGCCGTCGGGTCGTGACTTAGTATAGGCAAGACATTTTTATCGCTGTATCGTTTCGACTTAAGTGATGTTGAATAAGTTTACAAAATTATGTTGATGCTGCTGCATTGGCAGTGGTGCAAAAAAACAAAACTCCATTCCTTCCATCAATAATATTGCGGCCTTCAAAGGAAAATATATTCTAGGCTAAAATACTACACACACACAATACGTACACAATATAGACAATATATACACGATATATACACAAAATATACACGCACTATACACAATATATACACGCACTATACACACAATATATTTCTATACAATTGTCACATTACTCTTGCGACGACACATGTAGTTGTTTGCTGCATGTATTGTTGGTGACAGCCAGATTGAGCTGGCTACATTTTCACTACTTTATCGCCTACATTTTGACCGGACGCGATGGCGAAAGAGCCGAGCCACAAGTAACAAAACGATTGCACACCTTTCGGCAGGATCGTCTGATCCACGCTGAGGGGATAGTTCAATACGGGCTTGAACGGACTTTTCAATACGAGATCCATGTCGAAGCACATTCTCTCGTGGTCAAAATAAAAAAAAAAACGGAACATTAACACCACCGTGTACGCGGTGTTGCACAAGCATGAATTAAAAAGAATAACTCATCAGTGGCATTGCCTTATCACAGAAAATGTAATCGTATGATAGGTTGACCAGTGAAACAATGGCTCTTCAAGAGGGGAAACCTTAAATAAATGAGACACTATACTACAATTTACACCGTGGCTCCTGACTAAAACTGTACCCTATATGTTAAAGTTCTTTTACGCCTTACGCACCCAGCCGTGCTAATCGGAGGTGCGGGAAAAAAAAGGTGCGTTGGTGTCAGCCAGATGGAGCTGGCCAACCTGTGGTGGTGCTACAAAAGTATGCAGTGTTGGCCTAAAACTAATACCCTGTGGTGCCCCCTGTGAGGGCAAAGAGTCAAGTGGTGGCACCAGGTCAACCCAGCTTCTGGTGGGGCTTTTGGCTCCACGCGCCTCGTAGTCCACGGTCAATTTTGTGAAATATTGTGCAGGCTACAAATCGCATTATCACGATGATGATCACGAAAGTGCTAGCTGCATCTATAATTTCAATCAAAAAAACAAAAACTCAACGCATTTGTCGATAACAGTGGAGCATGAAAAGACAGCAGTATCGAAGAGGCGACGGTCCTTCTTCATAGCACATAGAGGCCCAGAGAAGTAGGGTCCGCAAGTACCGCTATGACACGCAGCATCACCAAGGGGATTGCGCGAGAAAGGTCATGACCCAACACATCAGGATATTGTATTTATATTTATTTGTATGTGGCCACTTCCTGAAATCTCTAGCAAAAAGCCACGTAGGAATGATTGGAATGATACATTCAGCAAGTACATTTGGTAAACTACCAGGTTCAAAGGAGTAATGTTTATCGCAAGGAATTTTTTTTGGGAAAAAAATATATCTATATTTCTGAGATGTGTGTAACACGGACGCGACAGCTGTCTCTCTCAAGTGAGCATGCACTCTCAAAGCAAGCAACGCAACACGTTCGTCAACAACACTGTGTGCTCTTAAAATAAAAACATAATATTCATAAGCGTTGTGTCAGGCCATGGGCCCTTCTTCAGATCACAAATCAAATGTGCATATGGAATGTCGCATAAAAAAGAAACCTTTAAATAATTTTTTTGGTGGCAAGGATGCGGCACAGGGTTCAATTCATAAATTGAGTGAGTGGAGTTTGTATGTTCTCTACATGTTCTGTACAGTGAATAAGTGAGTGTAATTTGTATGTTCTCTCCCTGTTCTGAAGAGTAAATAAGTGAGTGGCGATTGTATGTTCTCCCCCTGTTATGTATAGTAAATAAATGAGTGGCGTTTGTATGTTCTCCACCTGTTCTGCAGAGTGTGTGTGCAAGAGTGAGCGTGCTGCGCTCACTCTTGCACAGCGGTAGTGTAGCGGTTAGCGCACTGCGCTATGAACCTGGCGACCCGGGTTCGATTCCCGCTCACGGCCAACACCAGTGACGATTATCTGAACCGGTCCCGGGCCTCCCCTAGGTTGACTCAGCCTCAAATGAGTACCTGGTGCGGTGTGTAAACATTGCCACTCGGGAGACAAAGGCGGTCGGGCGTGGTGCTGGCCACCCACCCCCTCGTGTACCGTTCCGGCCTTCATAGGTGCTCGCTAACAGCACTTGCCCCTACAGTCTGTTAAGGCTACACGGGGGATCTTTATCTTTGATCTTTGTGCTGCGCTACAAACCCAACGACCCGTGTTTGATTCCCTCTCACGGCCAACACTAGCGATGATTACCTTAAACAATCTTGGGCTTCCTCTAGGTCGACTCAGCCTCAAATGAGTACCAGGTGGCTGGGCATGATGCTAGCCATTCTCTCGTGTGTCGTGTCGGCTTTCATAGGTGGTCCCAAAAGTCTTTTGAGGCTATACTTTGTTTTTGTGTGAGTGGAGTTTGGATGTTCTCCGAGATCTGCAGAGTGAGTGGAGTTTGTATGTTCTCTCCGCCTGTTCTGTTTGGGGTTTCTCCGAGTTCTCCAGATTCCTCCCATAGCTTAAAATACCCAAACACAATGTAACTGGAAGTGGACAAAACATGCCAATGCTGAAAAATGACCTGCAAATTACATAATTGGGATTTTACACATCAACATCGGCCCCTTACTGCAAAAAACTTGGCAGGACCGTCCTGCAAAAGAGTCTTGAGACTCAGTGAGGCTATCCTGGGTAAACAAGCGTAAATAAAACCTGAATAAAAGGTACTCGGGTGTTTAAATCCAGGTGCGCACTAAGGCCGGAAGGCACTGGCGAATGGAAAGAGCTTGTGGCACGTTGCTCTGTACGTCTCTGCTTGAGCCTCCGCGCAGCCCAGGCTGCCATCTCTCAGGGCCTCCAGTACAGATGTACAAGTCTGGGAAAGGTCACACAAGGGACACAAATAGCAATTCTATAAATCATCATGGTGTTCACAAAATGCGTTTTATCTATCACGCACAACGCTGAACAAGCACCGTTACAATAACACGGAATGCCCACCATTATAACGCAGCTTCTGAGCGGTCAACAATGAAATACTTTCTTGAGCTGCACTGCTGAGTGGTATGACACAGTATTGGAGTGATACAGTATGCGTAATGAGACAGTACGCAGCAGCATACAGTGAGGGAAAAAGTATTTGATCCCCTGCTGATTTTGTACGTTTGCCTACTGACAAAGAAATGATCAGTCTATAATTTTAATGGTAGGTTTATTTGAACAGTGAGAGACAGAATAACAACAAAAATCCAGAAAAACGCATGTCAAAAATGTTATAAATTGATTTGCATTTTAATGAGGGAAATAAGTATTTGACCCCCTCTCAATGAGAAAGATTTCTGGCTGCCAGGTGTCTTTTATACAAGTAACGAGCTGAGATAGGAGCACACTCTTAAAGGGAGTGCTCCTAATCTCAGCTTGTTAGCTGTATAAAGACACCTTTCCACAGAAGCAATCAATCAATCAGATTCCAAACTCTCCACCATGGCCAAGACCAAAGAGCTCTCCAAGGATGTCAGGGACAAAATTGTAGACCTACACAAGGCTGGAATGGGCTACAAGACCATTGCCAAGCAGCTTGGTTAGAAGGTGACAACAGTTGGTGCGATTATTCGCAAATGGAAGAAACACAAAAGAACTGTCAATCTCCCTCGGCCTGGGGCTCCATGCAAGATCTCACCTCGTGGAGTTGCAATGATCATGAGAACGGTGAGGAATCAGCCCAGAGCTACACAGGAGGATCTTGTCAATGATCTCAAGGCAGCTGGGACCATAGTCACCAAGAAAACAATTGGTAACACACTACGCCGTAAAGGACTGAAATCCTGCAGCGCCCGCAAGGTCCCCCTGCTCAAGAAAGCACATATACATGCCCGTCTGAAGCCAATGAATATCTGAATGATTCGGAGGACAACTGGGTGAAAGTATTCTGGTCAGATGAGACCAAAATGGAGCTCTTTGGCATCAACTCAACTCGCCGTGTTTGGAGGAGGAGGAATGCTGCCTATGACCCCAAGAACACCATCCCCACCGTCAAACATGGAGGTGGAAACATTATGCTTTGGGGGTGTTTTTCTGATAAGGGGACAGGACAACTTCACCGCATCAAAGGGATGATGGACGGGGCCATGTACGTCACATCTTGGGTGAGAACCTCCTTCCCTCAGCCATGGCATTTAAGATGGGTCGTGGATGGGTATTCCAGCATGACAATGACCCAAAACACACGGCCAAGGCAACAAAGGAGTGGCTCAAGAAGAAGCACATTAAGGTCCTGGAGTGGCCTAGCCAGTCTCCAGACCTTAATCCCATAGAAAATCTGTGGAGGGAGCTGAAGGTTCGAGTTGCCAAAGCTCAGCCTCGAAAACTTAATCACTTGGAGAAGATCTGCAAAAAGGAGTGGGACAAAATCCCTCCTGAGATGTGTGCAAACCTGGTGGCCAACTACAAGAAACGTCTGACCTCTGTGATTGCCAACAAGGGTTTTGCCAGCAAGTACTAAGTGATGTTTTGCAGAGGGGTCAAATACTTATTTCCCTAATTAAAATGCAAATCACTTTATAATATTTTTGACATGCGTTTTTCTGGATGTTTTTGTTGTTATTCTGTCTCTCACTGTTCAAATAAACCTACCATTAAAATTATAGACTGATCATTTCTTTGTCAGTGGGCAAACGTACAAAATCAGCAGGGGATCAAATACTTTTTTCCCTCACTGTACCCTCATCTCAGCTCTTTGTCCCGCCATGGGATCGCTGCAGGCCGAATTTACCGTGCGAATGTGATTCAGTAACTTAGTAATTCCTCGCTCTAACAATTGTAATAATAATATTACAATATCGCCTACTGCCTGTGCCACTGCACCGCAGCAGCAGCGCGACTCACAATCTCCTCCTCTCTCTACACCAAGGAGCAGCATCATGGCCACTGCCGGGCATCGTTTCTCTGTGGCAGCCCCCGCCATCAGGACCGCAACCATCATCATCCCGAGCTGGCGCTGCGCATTTACAGGAGCAGCAGAAACGATAAATCCACAAAGACTTAAGTGACACCTAGAGGCTTCATCTCCTCGATTGCTTTCAAGCAACAATGAGCTTGGCTCTGGCACCTCAGGAGTCATGGTCATTTACATCAGCAAAATAGTGCTGTGCAACAGAGAGAGAGAGAGTGGGAGTCCTCACCGCGACATTCCTGTCTGTCAACGCTTCGTCAAGGTTGGTGGCGATGGCGAGGGCCTTATCCTGGTGAGCCTTATCTAGGAAAAACAGCATCCGTGCCCCTGCGAAAAAACAAACACCCACGTTAGTCTCTCCAGGGCACAACGTGAATGGTACGTTCAGGATGGGGACAGAGTCACATTTTTTTCTGAAGACAGCACTGTCGTTCATTAGGGGGGAACTATTCAACTATACCCCCAAGTCCCCCCAAGTAATCACCTCTGCACTGCATACACTACATTTGTAAATCTGACAAAACATCACGCAACATGTGGTTTAGTGGTCCATTTGCTGCCTGTGGACAATGATGGCATTCACTCAGACAAGCGCTCCGTAGGATAGAGGAAGTGCTCTCCGACCGGTGGTGGTGGTGGCTCCACTGCACATGGTCTGTAATCCAGTGCTGTGAAGGCAGCAGGGAGGGTTGGTGGATCACAGATAGACATTGCGAAACTCCCTTCCCGTGGATGTCGTGGAGAAGCCATACCCTGTCTCACCAGAAGGTGGTACAGCAAAGTGTGGGCTAATACCCATCCATTCCATCTGAATGAGATCGTGTTTTCCCCTCGCATGCATGGGTTTTCCCCAGGTGCTTTCGTTTCCTCCCACATGTAAACACTCACTAATTGGCTGAAATCTATAATTGTGCCTCTGTGTGTTGCGGATTGTGCAGCTTTGTAAGTTGCAGTTTGCATGAAGAAGCTAATATCTATAAACACTGTTTATTATTCTAGGATAAGAAAGCCTTCTATAGGAGTTTAACACGTAGGCTTTCGCGACCAATAACCCCAAAACACTCTATTATAGGCCTTCTATAGTAATAGAAAATGTTTAATAGGGAAGGTAAATGTTGTATAGGACAGGCAAGCAGAAATTATTCATACAGAGACTCCTCTACTTACGAACATTCGACTTACTAGCTTTCAGAGATACTAACAAACCTGACCGCATGTCCAGTTGCATGTTCAGACTGAGAGTCGTAAGTTAATTGTTTGGTGTCAATCATTGGCTGTTTTGAGTCTCAGGACCCAAATACTGAAAGGGTTATGATGGTGTCAGCAGCTGTCCATTATGCAATTGTTGTTAGTAGTTGATGAAGAGAAGAAGAGACCAACGTTTCAGACATGTCTTAAGTAAGTTTTTCAAGCGAGGAGAGGAAACAGGAGCACCAAAGGTAATTCACATCTACATCTGCAGAACATAAAGAACTAGTGTCATCTACATCTGCAGAACATAAAGAACCAGTGTCATCTACATCTGTAGAACATAAAGAACCAGTGTCATCTACATCTGTAGAACATGAACAACCAGTGGTATCTACATCTACAGGAGATTATACAGCTTTTTAAATCATTCCCGGTGTTTAGTGTACGTGCCGTACAATATGTTTGGAATCGACAGGAGTAAAGTTGAACTTACGAACAAACCGACTTACAAACAGACCTTTGGAACCTAACTCGTTCGTAAGTAAAGGAGTACCTGTATTAAGCGAGTTTACCCAAGAAAGTTGAGTCTCGTGACTCATATCAACGAAGAGTGCTGCCAGACTTTCACAGTCGTGGGGCGATGATTGCTGCTGTGCATGATCCCAATTAAGTAATTTAATGGGGTAATTTTTTCAAACTTGCCAAATCCAAACCATGACACCGGTGGCGCACGTTGTCCTGCTCTTGCAAGCGATCTCACGGGATCTCTAGTGACGTTGTCCACTGAGAGTGAAGTGGACAGCTCGTAGCAGTCATAGCAGTCATTTACATCGGTTACTGCAGTTATGGCAGCTGGACTCGAACCGTGAACCTCTGCAGCAAGCGGCAAACGAGCGCGCTACTGCTCAGGTGTACAAGAGAATCCAGCGTACAGGACAGTGTGACGTACAGGAGAGTGTGACGTACAGGAGAGTGTGACGTACAGTAGAGTGGGATGTACAGTAGAGTGGGACGTACAGGAGAGTGTGGCGTACAGTAGAGTGTGGCGTACAGGAGAATGTGACGTACAGGAGAGTGCGGCGTACAGGAGAGTGTGGCGAGCATGCGCCACAACGAGGCCTGGCTGCCAGCAGACTCACCGGCGAGGGAGTGCCGGAGCGAGGTGGCATTGCGCTGCAGGAAGTCCCCATTCATCTGCTCCAGGCTGCCGGCGCCGAGCAAGGGGGGCAGTTCCTGACGCAGAACCTCGGCCACGGGTGCCGTCGTGCTCAGCACGCCCTCTGCTACACTCGGCACGACACACGGCTCGTCGTCGTCATCATCATCTTCAGCAGCATCTAAGATTAATCCACTGCTGGATGAAGGCCTCCCCAAGCTGATGCGATATCATCTTATGATTCTACAATTTAATGTTAATCCACTGAGCAACTTAAAGAGTTGGCCGCTTGGCGATGGCTACGCACGTGGCTGCCTGTAATCCAGCATTGTGGAGGCAGCAGCGAGGGTTGGTAGATCACACACACACCTTATGAAACTCCCTTCCCATGGGTGTCGAGGAGCCCATACCCTGGCTCGCCCAGAAGGCAGTACAGCAAATGTCAACTAATATTCATCTGCTCCATCTGGATGGGGATAGAGCGTTGCGTCCCCTCGCAAGCGTGGGTTTCCTCTGGGTGCTCCGGTTTCCTCCCACGTGTATAATTAACACACTCATCATTAATTGGCTGAAAACATCTCAAAATTAAAACCAAATACATGACATCCTGAAAGCAAGGCCTATAACTAAGCATGGCTTTCCTGGATACACAATTATTAATGTCAATTTGAATATAATAATTGTTTAATAATATTAACAGGGGCGGATTTAATCTCTACATTCCTGCAGTGGATGTCCTATCGGGAATGTTCCCTCCTTTGGCTGCAACTCTACATTAGTCCCGAGGATCGACCAGCATATCCTCTCTAATGACGTGTTCTGCAAAAACCCACTGACTTTTCTTGCTCAAACTCCATACGAGTTCTCTGCTCGTGTGTGATTCGCATTTACTAAGACAGAATTGACTTGAGGGAGGCCCCCAGGATCATTTTAGACATTCTCCAATATTGTCCGTGACCGAGAATCGAACTCGGCTAGCCGGCCCGTGTTCGTAGCACAGTGCGATAACCACTGCGCCGCCGCTCCCTCCCCACTCCGCACTCCCTGCGGCCCCAGCCACACCGCTCGCCGTACCCAACTCAAACAAAACTAAACTTTTTTGATTTAACCAGGCATGGCCCACTGAGCTATGTAGCTCTTTTTCAGGGGCTACCTGGCCACAAATGGTAGCTCAACGAAGTGTCTTATCACGTAGACATTAATTGTAGCCAAATACTGTGAACGCCCGTTGTTTCTAAATGTGGAGGGAAAAACCGGAGGACCCGAAGAAAAATCTATGTGACCACGGGAAGAGAGAGAGACACGCAAACTCCAAATATACAAGTGTCAGGTTTCAGGGTGGAACTCACGACCTCCTGTATACCAAGTGAGGTAGTTAACATCCCGCCACTGTGACTCACCGGCTGTGCAGAGCCGCACCAGGCAGGTGTGCAGCCAGGGGTCGTGGGGGTCAATCGTGGCGGCGCGCCTCACAGAGCATAGCATCAGGAGAGGTTTACCTGCACAGACACAAATGGCCGCTGCACTTTCTCGCTCACTCGCAGCGGTCATACTGAATTGTTGTAATTATCCATCACTCACGTCTCCGCAATGTGGCGGGTACCACAATATTATTGGTACGATATAGAAACCACGAGCATCGTAACATAAAATACGCGGTTAAATCTTCATTGTTATTGTTCGTTTTACGTACTTGAAAATACAAATTTCGTTGTGAAATATATCAATTATGTAATAAGTTAAGTTCGATTCATTTCAGTGCTTTTTACAGAACGTGTTCTGGAATAGTTAATGGCTCGGCAGCAGTTTCTTGACAGCGGACACGCATTTGGAAATACATCTCACTTTCCGGAGCCTCCTATAATCCAGAGAATGCGTTCATTATTGGTACAGTCGGCAGCTGCAAGGTGATTGAAGAACACAAATCGCAACCGATGCAGACTTCCCCAGCGGAAAACCACGACCGAGTCGGTATAAAAAAAACACACTCATGACTTTCAAACTTAGTAAGAGTAACAAAAATTCTAACCGCATGACCAAGGTTGCACTGCTCGATGATGGCGTTCACTCGGGCAGGCGAGCATTCTGAAGGGCAGGTAAGTGCTTTCTGCTGTGTGGCGGTGGTGGTGGCTACACTGCTGCTGCACGTGGCTGCCCGTAATCCTGCACTGTTGGAGGCAGCAGCAGTGAGGGTTGGTGGATCATCACGCTAATGTTGTGAAAATCCCTTCCCCGTGGGCATTGAGGAGGATGAGGTGCCGTATACCTGCTTGATGGATCACATGATCGCTTACCTCTTCGCAGATGTATTTCGAAGGCGAGCAGGTGCGTCGCGATGTCGTTCGCTGCAAAGTTTTCAAGAGGAGCCAAGAAGCTCACGGCTTCAGAGAGTGGGTCGTCGGCATCCTGGCCACGCGAGTGGTGGGGGGGTGGGAGGGGTGAGAGAGGTGTTAGGGGTGAGAGGGTGGGGGGGGCTTGAGGAGTGGGGGGTTGAGGGGGGGCGCCGTAGCCTGTCAGGGATCACTGCACAGAAGACGCAGAATGCAGGCGAAACGCACGACGTGGAAAACCGCAGAAACACGAAAAACTCATTGACACTGCGTGTGGTCTATAATTCGGTCATAAAGTGCAATGTGATCGTGGGACTGTGGTGTATTGGTATGGTTTTGAATCGTTGTTCTTTTGTTGCATTGCCCCAGCTTACATTTGATCTTGACAAATCTGCATTTTTTTTTACTGTATACTCATGCAATTTATACTTCCAAGCTTTATCTATATGCATTTTTTTTGCCTTGCTTAACTTTTCTCTTATCATAGTGGTGGGGTTTGTGTGTTCCAGTGACCCTAAGAGCTATGTCACGTGGAGCCACTGCCACGCAAAAAAACATCGACTCTGCAGATCCACAGTACCAGCTGCACCACGACGCCGGTACCGGTGACCGTGGGACTACACTTGTCTTGCGCGGGGACACGCTTCACCTGCACGCCGAGTTCCTCCATGAAGTCGTGTAGCTCCTTGCCGTCGCGCACGTCAGGGTCCGGCCCGCTTCCCGCTCTGCCTCCACCTCCTCCGTCACCACGCAGGATGCGTGCTACCGCCTTGCGCCGCTTGCTCTGCTGCTTGCGCTGCTCGGCAGCCGGTGCCGAGCCTAAGCAAAAGAGATCCGGTACGAAACGGCTGCCGGACCCCCCGGGAAAGGATAGAGCGACACCCAGCAAGGGGACAATACGCGCCGATGGCACCGACGAGCAGAGAGTGGAAAAAGAGACACATCAACGCACCGCTGCCGCCACCGCATGGCTTGAGAGGCATGAAGACCACAGACACGAACGGTGTCAATTTCCCCCACCCCCAAGCTCTGCGGTCCTCTCTAGATTGTGGTTTATCGGCCAATTAATGAGTGTTTATACATGTGGTAGGAAACCGGAACACCCAGAAAAAACCCACGCAACACTAACCCATACAGACGAAACTGGTGGAATCCACATGTTGATGTACCGACTTCTCCTGATAAGAGCCAGGGTATGATTTTTCGACAGTCACGGGAAGGGAGTTGCACAACATCTGTGCGGTGACCAGAATATTTTTGTATCAGAATCTTTATTTAGACTTGGGGAATCCAATGAGCTATGAAGCTCTTTTCACAGATGTCCTGTAGGAATTCAGAGACGTCCAGTGATCCAAAAACCCTCACTGCTGCCTCCACAGTGCTGGACCACTAACAGGCAACCATGTGCAGCGTGGCCACCACCACCCATCGAACAAAGACGGTTATTGCATCACGCACTTTCAGAAGCACTCATTCCGATATTAGGAAGCCACTGGAGCTATGCACTTTTAAATATAAATTGAAAACTAATTTCTTTAGAACTGATTGTTGCGTACAGTTTCTTGTCCTTCCTCCTCAGCACCTCCGATTAGTACGATTGGTTAAGTACAGAGCATACCGAAGTTCAATGTGCGTACAAGCATCGTGCCGCAAGCTTGGAAAAAAAACTCCGCGCGCACGACATCGAAACTCACCGCCGACATCGCGCGCTTGGCGGCCCCCGTCCTCTGCGTGCCGGATGGGTGCGGAGGGCCGGTCATGAAGGCCAAGGCAGCAGCGCACGGCCGTGCGGGCCGCACGCACTGACGCGGGATGGCCGCGCAGCGCGGTGGACGTGCGCAGCATCCCCGCGTATGCGCGCAGCGTGGCCCGGCGCAGGCAGTAGGTGTGGAAGTCCAGCTGGGACGCGGCCACGTCGTTGAAGTGCTGTTCGGAAGGCACACAGCGCCAGTGGCGCGGATGATTTGCACCCTTGGCGACGATCCAGCAAATTGTAACGATCTGGGATGTGCGGTTGCGCTCTAGAACTATATTATGTGTTGATTGCTGTCTCGTTAATACTATTGTATTCTCCAGGTCATAAGATTTACTTTCCCCCCCCGTACTTTAAAGCATGATTATTTCGAGTTACATTCACTAAAGTTTACATGTGAATGTAATTTTCCATGTATGTTGAACTTCTTTCATACCCTACATAGCCAACCATGCTAATCGAAGGTGCGGAGATTGTTATTAAGTTTGTGTTTTTTAAAATCTGTAATTGTGCTTTGATGTTGTCTGCCGGTCAAGTCACCCTTGAAAGAGAGCCTCTTAGCTCAATGGGCTTTACTCAGTGGGATATAAACTTCTGATGCCGATTCTGATCACGTGCGGCCAGGTTGCCTCTAACAAACCACTCATGTTGAGGTAGCGAGATGTTAACTCGCTCGCCTGGTATACAGAAAGTTGTGGGTTCGATCCCGACCCTGATGCCTACTGTATAATTTAAGTTAGCGTGTCTCTCTCACCGCGATCGTGTGGATTTTTCTCAGAGTCCTCCGGTTTTTATCCCTCCACATTCCACGTGTTGGAGACTCGTAGAACGTAGACGAAGGTTTCTTCAGAATGAACAACAACGCTGGTCCCTCTGGGGGACCCGGCTTATATTCTCTGCGGCGTGGCTGGCTCCGCTCTTGGCCACGACCACCTTCCAGAATCCTCGAGCAGGATCTGGACCCCGACCACGTGACCACTCCTAGCCCCCACCTGGGGCCTCTTTGAGGACTTAACTGGTCACTTGTCCTCTCGGGTCAAACAGAGTGCCATGGCCTTTAGTAACCTCATTCCTACGGCCGGCACTCCCACACTCTATCCTGTAGGGCCGGCACTGCACGCCAAGCATGGTGCCATCCAGCGCTATCAATCAGCGCTGACCGAGCCCCTCTAGAGCCGGTACTACACTCACACCATAGTGGTATCCGCGATGTCAATACACCGCACCCCATGCCTCTCTCAGGCCGGCACTACACAGTGACATCCCGCGATGTCACTACATCTGTAAAGAAAAAAGTTTGCTATGCCGTGTGGAGCGGGGCGTGTGATCGGAGCGGCAACGCCGGTTTGCGAGCGCCGACCTTCTCCACCTGGCGGCACACGCGGAGCGCGTCGCGGTGGCGGCCCTGCCGCCAGTATGCCTCCGCCAACGCCAGTAGGAACCACAGGGGCTGCGGCTCCCCGGGGCCCTCCTGCACGAAGCCGCTCTCCTGCCACCGGCAGAAAAAAACAAATGCGACAGATTCCCCACGTGGTTGTGGCAGAGAACGTTGCAGCGAGCACCGTTCGATCGACTTGCTCTTCCACTCACCCGTGGTTTAGTGAAGAGTAACGCTAAGCTCTCTGTCGGGGGTTTGGAAGCCACGTGATGGCTTCAGCCGAAGCTGAATGGATGGATCCTTCTGCTACTGCTGCTGCTTCTGCTACAACGGTGCAACATTTCTGACACAGTATCTCTGGTCCGTGGCCCCCATATTTGGAATACTCTGCCTGTAAAATTGCACCTGACCGTTGAGATTCTCCAATTTAGAAAAATATTCAAATCCTACTCATTTCCTAGGATATGTTAGGTAAGGGGTCGGCAACCAAAATAACAAAAAGAACCATTATTTTAGAATTCGGTAAATAAAACTCAATATTTCAAGAGCCGCAATGCACGTGAATAGGAAACAGTGGTCCTTAATAAATAACGTTACGGTGCAGTCTTTAAAAAGCCACACGCGGCTCCAGAGCCGTAAGTTGCTGACCCCTGTGTTAGGTAAACTGGAGATGTTTTTATTTATTTTTGGATACAATTTACTGTATGGTGCTCTGCTGCCCTTTGTTGGGACTGCTGCGGCTTATAAAAATGTAAACAACAGTAATGAAGCAAGAGAGCAACCTCGCAGACCTTTCCTGCCTTGAGCCTCCCTGCAGGAGGCTCGGCCCCCTTGTGAACTCATACATTGAGCCAAACAACGTCGAGCCAAACAACGTAGGTACGAACGTCGGTATGAACGAGTCGCCGCTAGGCTCACGATGACTCACGCAAGGGACTCACCAGCAGTGCTTGCGTGACGAGCCCCGCGCGCAGTAGGTACTTGATGCGCTTCACCTGCAGGAAGCGGTCACCTGGCTCCAGGCCCAGGGCCTGCCTTAGGCATTCGGCCGCGGCCACAGCGTCTCCGGCGTGCTGTGCGACACCCCCACCATGATCATTCACGGCCCTCCCTCCCCGCAAGAGACCCACTAAGCATATGCCGTTTACTCAACTAAAACTAATGGATTTATATATTTTTTTATTTTAACCAGGTAAGTAAGGTCCACTGAGATATATAGCCCTGGCCACAAATGATAGCTGAATGAAGAAGCTTATAATGTGAAAATTTATAGCAGCCAAATACCTTAAACGCATGTTGATTCTAAATGTGGAGCAAACCTCTTCCACTATTCTCATCAGTAGATCCATTCATTTGTTCGTTTCCATTATTCGCAGAGATTCACACTGCAGGCCACTAGTTTTGTGTGCGTGTCGAGGGTTATATGAGTAGGGAGGCCTTCGTCCAGCAGTGGAGTGTCAGAGGGCTGTAAATCATTGTTCACATGAAAAAAGTGTTCATGTGACGTCACATGGGGCCGTGTGTAATAAAGCACAATGCGTTTTTTGTCCTCATCGAATTAAAACAACGTAAGTTACATCTCTAACTCAGATCAAGCCTCCCGTAGACTTGTGTGGCCACTTCCACTCTGAAACTTCCCCTCTACCCGCCCACTGTGAGAACAGACGCCGCTCCTCCTCTATGAAGCAGCATCAAGGTCCTGATGTAGCCTCTTCCTCCTCTCTATCCTCATCTCTCCTGACCCTGTACTCCCGATGATTCTCTGTTCCTTTCCCCAATGTTTCTCTGGTCTTTCCCGTTCCAGTCTTTTCCCTCCCCGCATGTATTACATCCTTGACTCTACTCCCCTTTCCGTGGTGTGTAGCAACGGAGGGTACAAAGGTTGCCAGCGAATCCTACCCAATGCCAATAACGTGATGGCACGCCGGCAATTAACCGAGCTCCTTATTCGTTGACTTTACCTGCAGGTAAATAAGTTACATTTAAAAAATCTTTTTAAGAAACACGCTTTTATGAAATGTACTAGTAATGGCAGAACTCCACGACTCCAGGAAGTGGCCCTGAAGCTTGCCATAACGTAAGGGACTGTGGCCAATTACAGCCAACGTCAGTTGACCGTGGACAATTAGACCCAGCCGAAACATAACATATAAAATAGAATGTTTAAAAATGTATACTTTTTATTTTTTTTATGATAGAATATAGCATTGTCATCAGTATGACATAAGTATACCAAGTTTGCAGTCGATACCACATTGGGATGTGGGTTAAAAGTGAGTTGCAAGATTTGAGGATACAACAACAACAGACAGAGTGAGTTAAATGAAAGCGTGTGAAAAGCGCTTGTTTTGTTGCGTCTGCCCCAAACTCTCGCACGCCGCTCGTTTGTCCTGGACTCGAAATCATCGCCACTGTTAAGCGCGTCACCATGCGCGAACGTGGGTCACGCGAGCGTGGCTCCCACAAGCGCCAATGCGTGGTGGTCCACGCACCTTGTAGATGCTGGCCTTGGCAACGAGCAACTCCGGGGAGCAGGGGAAGGCTGCGAGGCAGCCGTTGATGTAGTCGAACGCCAGGCTCGACTGACCCACCAAGTCGTAGTGCTGAGCCAGCAGGAAGCGCACCCACAACAGGGTGGGCTCGTGCTGCGGCTCGCCATCATCTTACAGCGTGCAGCGAGTGGTAAGAACACGAGATCTTAGTGAGTGGTGAGGACACGAGATCTCACTGTGTCTTAGTGCACAGTGAGTGGTGAGGACACGAGAGTTTAGTGAGTGGTGAGGACACGAGAGTTTAGTGAGTGGTGAGGACACGAGAGCTTAGTGAGTGGTGAGGACACGAGATCTCACTGTGTCTTAGTGCACAGTGAGTGGTGAGGACACGAGAGTTTAGTGAGTGGTGAGGACACGAGAGCTTAGTGAGTGGTGAGGACACGAGAGTTTAGTGAGTGGTGAGGACACGAGAGTTTAGTGAGTGGTGAGGACACGAGAGCTTAGTGAGTGGTGAGGACACGAGAGTTTAGTGAGTGGTGATGACACGAGAGCTTAGTGAGTGGTGAGGACACGAGAGTTTAGTGAGTGGTGATGACACGAGAGCTTAGTGAGTGGTGAGGACACGAGAGCTTAGTGAGTGGTGATGACACGAGAGCTTAGTGAGTGGTGATGACACGAGAGTTTAGTGAGTGGTGAGGACACGAGATCTTAGTGAGTGGTGATGACACGAGAGTTTAGTGAGTGGTGAGGACACGAGAGCTTAGTGAGTGGTGAGGACACGAGAGCTTAGTGAGTGGTGAGAACACGAGAGCTGTGTCTTAGTGCACAGTGAGCGGTGAGAACACGACAGCTCACTCTGTATTACAGCGTGAGTGGTGGGAACACAGGTGCTTACTGTGATGTTACTGAGCAAATAATTTATTCTTTTATAGATTTTAATAGCGCCTTAATCCAACGTGCTTTCTAATAATTATATTGTGCACAAGATGATAGTGGTTAAAGTAAAAAGTGGGGTTATTAAAAGCAGTGTAGTAGTTATGAGGCGGTGGGTGGCCAGCACCAAGCCCAGCCGCCTTTGCATTCCTAATGGCGATGTTTTACACATCACACCAGGTACTCACTTGAGGCTGAGTCAACCGAGGAAAGGCCCAGGACTGGTTCATACATTCGTCACCGGCATTGGTCGTGGACGGGAATCGAACTCGGGCCGCCTGATTCATAGCACAGTGCACTAACCGCCACACTACCATTCCCCACTCCACTCATTCACTCACACACTACAGAACAGCGGGACAGAACATACAAACTCCACTCACTTATTCACTCTACAGAACAGGGAGAGAGAATCTCCAAACTCCACACAGAGGCGCCTGAGTCGAGAACCGCACTCAGGCGCCCCTTTTCTCGCTGCGAGTGTCACTACCGCACAAACCCTGCCGCCCGACGCGAGGTGCACGCGTCGGGCGCTCGCATGTCCCGTGACCGTAGGCGATGTGAGGGGGGCGGCAGCGGTGCTCACCGTCACGGTGAAAGAGGCCGTAGTTTTCCAGCGATGTCTCATACGCCACCGCAAGCTCCTCGATGGCAAGCACCTTTAAAACAAATGAGTGCTTCACTTTACTGATCACGGTTACGGTACGAGAAGTACGGCCGCATCCTTGCAATTGCACCGGCGTAAGGGCCGTCCAGCTGAAAGGAGCTCTAGAACGCCCATTCGAAGATGGTAAATTTGGCCTACTCTTCCACAATGGTCCGACGTCTTGGAAGAAGTGGGAGTACCCACACTTTACCCCACCGCACGCAACCTGCCGATTGACTAACTGTGGTGAACCCATTTATTTACGATTAACACTTTTTATTTTACCAGGTAAGGCCCACTGAGCTGTATAGCTCTTTTTTAGAAGCGACCAGCCCACAAACGAAACTCAATGGAGTGGATATTCACGTGGAAATTTATAGCAGCCAAATACTCTAAAGTATGTTGATTCTAAATGTGGCAGGGGAAAACCAGAGGACCCAAAGAAAAATCCATGCGACAACAGGGAGAACATGCAAACTCTAAATATACAGGTGTCAGGGTCGTGATCGAACTCACGACCTCCTGTATACAGGCGAGGTAGTTAACATCTCGCCACCGTGGAACCCCGCTGGGTAGATGGAGGCAGGGGGGAGATTTTAAGAAACTTGCCTCCATTGTTTTAGATGCCATGCCAGGAAAATCGATATGAACCAGCGACCTCTGGATATCAAGTCCAGCGAGCGAAGCATTGCACCACTTCGTAGCCCACTTCAGGGGCATGCAACTGTGCTTAAACGTTTGTGGATTTCATGTGACCAGTGAAGAATTCGACATTACGGTACATTATGTAACACGATTTTGTTCCTGGGTAGTAAGTGTTGTTTTATAATTGCTTATGCCTCAAAAGTATATAAAATGGATATTATTCCCCACAAACTTGGCTTTTGTGACCAGGACTTTATGTGAAGGAAAGACACAAATGCACCATGTTTTCTCATTGAAAATAGGTAAATTTCAAAATATCACTGTCCTGGTCACAAAAGCAAAGTTTGTGGGGAATAATAGCCATTTTCTGTACTTTTGAGGCATAAGCAATTAGAAAATAACACTACCCAGGAACAAAAAAAAATGTTTTTGTAACAGTGAATTATCATGTGGTTCAGTCAACACAGCATCTACTCAAGGGCTTGGATCGGGAAGCGCTTTCACTCGAGATCCGAGCTTCTGTTCACAACCTGAGTATGCTGGATGTGATCTGCAGAGAATAATCCATACCAAATGTTAAACGTGGTGTGGATCACTCTGGAACAACAATGCCAGTGGTGCTGCTGAAGTGGTGATAAATTGCCCATGTTTGATTGACGTGACACTTTTAAACAACACATCTATACTTGCACGACCTAACCCGAAATAATAAATGAGAAAGGGCCTCCGGTTTACAACGATCCACATTTACGACATTTATATAATGCCACCACGGGTCGCTTTGCGACGACGCAGAAACTTGATTTACGACATCTTCCGACATGACTCGGAACACATTTGAATAGTTGGTCCAGTTTCCGATGCGACTTGGCGTGGAGATTTTGTTATTCTCAAGTGGTGTTTCTGCTGTTTCTACTGTCTAAGATAAAATAGGTGCCGATTTACGACGACAGGGTTTCCAGGAGTGCGTTGTAACGTCGTAAAATCGGGGGACCGCCAGTACAGCGCAGCACGAGCCTTCTCTGGGTGGCGCACACCACTCCTCGCAGCCCCCACGCTTTGCTGGAGCACCTTGTCGGGGTCCCTGTAAAGCCCCTTGATGGTGGTGAAGAGCGGCGGGCAGCAGACGCTCAGATGCTGGCGCAGGAATCGGTCCATCGAGTCTCGAAAGCGCGTTCCTGCCAATCCCGCACCAACAAGACGAGACGGCCTCCAAGCTCAGCAGCTGTTGAAAACACGTGCACTAACCAGGGCACGCGTATCCACCGGGGCACGCGTACCGACTAGGATGTAAGTCCCTGGAACCATATAATACTTTGTTTTTAATATATGAGAATGTCTGATTATGCTGCCGATGCTGCTGCTTTGGCAGTGGTGCACAAGCACAAACAACAAAACTGACATAAACACCACAGCCTTAAAAAGAAAAAGTATTTAAGAAATTACGTTTTGAGCAATGGCCCTTAACTAGAGAGGCCAGGAGGAGTGTTTATACCATGGGGGCCTGATGAGAATTACATTTTAACAATGTTTTCTCATGACCGGTTTTTAAACTGGCATTTATATAGTTACATTATTAGCTTCTGTTAGGTAACAGAGAAAGCCTTTGATAATCAAAATGTGTTGCTCCTGAATACACTAATTCATATTAAAAGTTAAATAAACATCACTGACACCAATGAATCAATAATGCAAAATGTATTAAGAGGCCGGAAAGTTGTATCGCAACTAATTCATTCACAACGATCAGAAATTTTGATTTAAAGCTTTCGTGACTGCAGTAATTCATATTCTTAGTTTTTTCGGTAAAGTCACGTTGAAGAGAAACAACAAAATAACAAAATATATATAAAACAATAAAATATATTTTGTTATTTTGTTGTTTCTCTTCAACGTGACTTTACCGAAAAAACTAAGAATAACGATCAGAAATGTTCACTAAATAAAAAAAATGCATCCATCTGCCTGTGGGCTATAAGGATCAAAATGAACGGGTCCTATAGTGTTCACAGAGCTCTTGCCAATACTATCAGCCAATTGAGCAAGAACATTTGTTCAACAAGATGCACTAATATAATTAAAACCAGTTCACAGTTTGTCACTTTAAACAAATATTCTTGGAGTTATTAGTCGGAAAAACCCAACGATTGGTGGACTAATCGTACCATATGTGGCCTATAATCGCATCTAATCCAGCCCTGTGGAGCCAGCCTCAAGGGTTGGATGATCGCCGCACAAATGTAGGAGCCATAGCCTGGCTCTGCCAGGAGATGGTAGGACAGTAAAAATATGAACCCCACCTGTTTCATGTGTAAGGGATAAAGTGTTGCCCCCTTTGCATGCGAGGATTTTATCCGTGTACTCCTGTTTCCTCCCATATGTAAACACTCATTAATTGGCCAATAACACCTCAATATAGACAGTACCGCAGAGCTTGGGGGGAAATTTGGTGGCAGCTCACCACGTGGCTGTTGCTGCGACTACTACTATGGCCATTCCTGCCGGTGGTTCCTTCTGGCGCCTTCAAGTCGTTCTCTCTTTGCGAGTTCGAGCGAATCCTGTGTGGCGGCGTAGCGTTCCGAGTTGAAATGATTCACTAAACAATAAACTATTTGTATTTTAACAGGCAAGGCCCACTTATCTAATTCTCTTTTTTTCAGAAGGGACCTGGCCACAAAATGATAGCTCAACGAAGTGTATGTATGGTGAACTTCTTTCGCACCACATATAGCCAACCTGGCTAATCAGAGATGCAGAAGTTCCTTATCATATGGAAATTTATAGCAGCCGAATACTCTAAAAGCATGATTATAAATGTGAAGGGAAAAACCAGAGGACCTGGAGAAAAATCCACACGACCACAGGGAGAACATGGAAACTCTAAATATACAGGCATCAGTCGGGATTGAACCCACGACCTCCTGTAAACCAGACAAGGAAGTTAACAGCTCGTCACCATGGCATCCTCATACTCAGTTAACATTATAATTGTACACAGTGATAACGTTATTATAGAGACAACCAGTGGTCAAAACGAAGACAAATATTCCCCTATAGCCACATGGTAGGGTTAAGTGCTGATACTGGGCTCTTATGAAGGCCGGCCCATTAGCTGTGTGCCTGGTCATCTTTTGTCTTCCCAGTGCTGATCGTTTACATAGCACATCAAATCACACGATGCTTTAAATATTTACATTTCAATGCTTACATTTAAGGCCGAGTCAACTTAGGGGAGGGCCCAGGGCTGGGTTGAAATATCTTTCCACTGATGTTAGCCGTGTTCGGGAATCAAACTTAGGTGAATTTGGTTCGTAGTTGCGGTGTGCGTACCACTACACAGCCGGTCCACCCAAAAAGCACGCTTGGATACGCACACACATAAACATGGCACAGATCCCCCGTATAGCCTTAACAGACTCGAGGTAAGTGCTGTTAGCGAGCACCTATGAAGGTGGGCATGGCACACCAGGGTGGAGGTGGCGAGCAATACGCCCAGCTGCCTTTGTCTGTCACCAACCCTTCTGTCTCAGCACCAGGTATTCATTTAAGGCTGAGTCGACCTAGGGGAGGCCCAGGACCGGTGAGCGTGAATGGAACTCGGGTCGGCAGGTTCGTAGGGCGGTACGCTAAGCACTACGCTACCGCTCCCCACACACGCAATGACAAAGATCTCCCATATAGCCTTAACAGACTTTTTGGGCCAAGTGCTGTTCGAAGTAGGGCTGAACAATTAATCGATTTCAAATCGAAATCGTAATTTGAAAAATGCGATTAGCAAATCGCAAAGGTTGCGATTTTTTGCGATTTGAAAAGTCATATTACTTTTTATTGGAATTTTTTATTGTTTATTATTATAACTGTATTTCACTAAACAATTTCCATCAAAACATTTTAATAAATACATGTTGGAAGCAATTCATATCTCTTAAGTTCTCATCCTTGCATTAGAATATATAGAGCAGTTAATATTTTGATGGAATCGTGTGGTAATGCTCCATCACATGTTTTACATCTATTACACAGTGAATATTGAACTGAAGCTTGACTTCAAAAAAATGTAATCGCAAATCAAATCGCAATGTCAGAAAAATCGCAATTAGCTATTTTCCCCAAATCGTTCAACCTATTATGAAGGCAAGCAGGACATGGCACACAAGGGGGTGGGTGGCCAGCAGGACACACGTTAGCGTGCACACACACCGGTGAGGAAATTAAGGGGAAGCCTTTGAGGAGCACTGGCACTCGGGTGTATCTTCATGACATGTTGATAGATCTTCCACCGATCTTCCTCCGACTCTGTTGAAAATGACATTGAGCAAGTGATCACCGAATCCATATATTCCACTTTAAAAGGGTCGGCTACTCTGAAAAGTTACCGGGAAACAGTTTGGGGAGTGCCTCATAGCTCTAAAACTCACGTGATCATCATCACAGGCATCTGGCTAAGCTATGGATGCACGTACATCGAGGTGCGACCGTATAACAAATCGAATTTAGTAAATTTCTATCATGAAGTCGGCACATTAGGAATGACATCGAGGCATCTTTAACGTCCGCTTTACAGTTAATGCATCCACAATATTAACCAGGGCGGCATACCCCATTCGAACCGCAAACCTCTGCAAGAATAGCCGAACGCGATAACTGCTGGGTGTCACGCGTCAATGCCCCGATCTCGTCAAGAATCTCTTGCGTGGTTCTGCACTCATCAACGCACCGATTGGCACCCACCCCATACGTCAACACACCGATCGGCACCCACCCCCACGCGTCAACGCGCCGATCGGCACCCACCCACACTCATCAACACACCGATCGGCACCCACCCGCACTCGTCAATACACCAGTCGGCACCCACCCCCACGCGTCAACGCGCCGATCGGCATCCACCCACACTCGTCAACGCACCTATTGGCACCTACCCGCGTGCGTGGCCTGCTCCAACCTCTGGTAGTAGGTCCAGTTCTCGGGATTCCTCATCACGAGGCCGTGGAACAGCTCGGCCGCCTCTTCCAAACATCCCAGAGCCAGCAAAAGCTCTCCTGGCCGCGGCAAGCACCGTTCAGCAAATACAATGCGACTACGTTTACCTTCCAACTAATTATATTGGCAGTCGTTCTGAACAAGCACAGTAAACAACACTATCACTCAACACGTTCACCAATAACACTGTGTGTGCATGGCCTTGAAAGAAGAAATACGTAATAGGCGACATTTCGGGGAATGGCCCTTCTTCATGACATGTAAATAGAGAACCCAGAAGAGGGATATATAGAGTGGATGATAAGAGTTGGAGACCACTTGTTGACACTATGTGGGTCTGGTAGATTTACATTAAAAAACAAAATTCTGATTAGCAGTTTTATAAACGAGCACATGAATAAATATTGACTTAAAGCTTTCGTGACTGCAGGAATTCATATTCTTTGGGTCTTTCGGTAAAGTCACGTAGATAATTCAAAGAAAATAAAAAATTACGACGTTTCGATCGCAACACAAGCGATCGTCATCCTCCTCACTCTCTTGATGACGATCGCTTGTGTTGTGATCGAAACGTCATAGTTTTTTGTTATTTTCTTTGAACCATCTACGTGACTTTACCGAAAGACCAAAATAATATGAGCACATTAATAGTTGCACAATTAGTACCTACTGAGCACCAGACTAACACGAAATTTTGTAAACTGGAAATTAATAAATCGAGGGATACCTGTATACAATAATAAATGTTGTGGGTTTGCTCTCTAACGCACAGCGATGGTGCTGAAGAAGCAATACGCTGATTGGCACGTTCTGTTTTAGTGTTATACTTAAGCACCTCTGTGCTCGTCCAGCGCCTGCTTGTCGCAGATTCGCTCGCTGTACTGGGCGAGGTGCGTGAGAGCTTCCCTCCGCATGCCGGCCTCAGCCATCAGCTCCGCCTGGTACAGCATGAGCTCGCTGTGCTGATTGCCTCGTGCGTCACCCATCACCTGTGAAAGCCACGCAGCCGCATTATAACCCACTCGCCACCACCACCACTCCCGCCGCCACCACTACTACAGCCACATATCACCACTACTGCCACCTACCACCATCACTACCACTGCCACCACTGCCATCACTACCGCTCCAGTTTCCTCCCACAAATAAACAATCATTAATTGGCCAATCACACCTTAATATATAGAGGACCGCAGAGCTTAAGGGTAGAAAAAACGGACGGAGGCGTGAGAGCACAATGGGAAAGACTGCAAACGTGGTGACACTAGCGTCGTGCGGCTGGAAAATGGGTGCCAGTCCAGTTGCACCACCTGCGTACTCGACAACTACGCCGCCACACATACACACATGCACACAAGAGGGGGCACAGCTGGTGTATCTGCCAGCCATCCCAATCAGTCAATCCATGGCACCTGGGTTTGTCCTGGGACCTCTTATCAGTGAACCTTCGACACTTCACATGACCTGAAAGTGCACCTGGCCTGGCACAGGTGGCCTGCTAACATCATCGCCACTTCGTGGAGAATGCCGGTTGTTGTTGTGTGTACGTGGGTGCATGTGTGGGTGGGTGCGTGTGTGGGTGCGTGCGAGTGTGTATGCGCATGGGTGCTTGCGAGTGTGCGTGGGTGCAAGTGTGCGTGAATATGTGTGTGCGTGGTCGGTAAAACAACCCCCTTCCTCGTGGTGCCGGATGGGCAATGCTGTCGTGGACAGTGCTGTGGGAGGGAGGGCCAATTCCGATTGGTCTTTTCCCTCATGGCGTCTGTGACCACCACAGCGGCTAAATGAGGGCTCTGGACGGGTGCGAGGGGCTGGTAACCCCTCCACCTTCAATTAACTACCACTAAACTACCACCGAAAATTTTTATTAACACGCTTGTGCCGGAGGCCCCGGGGGGACAGGCGTCTATAACGTCTCCTGGCCAAACCCAATTTAGCGGAGCCAGGAGATTAATCTTTACCCTCAGGGCTCCTCCAGAAACAACAAAAAGCCACTATGGATGGCCACGTGGAATATTCGAACGCTCACTGTGGAGGAGAGGTTGCCACTTCTCTGTCGGGAGCTGGACCGGTACCGCCTGGATCTCTCTGGTATTCAGGAGGTCCGGTGGACCGGCTCTGGCTCCTGCCACCATGAGGGGTGGACAGTCCTCTTCTCAGGGCAGGAGACTGCCAAATAACAGGGAGTGGCTCTTCTTCTGAACAAAAGAATGAAGGGGGCCCGGGAGCGTGGCGGTGAGGTGTGGGAAGCTGTAAGCCCCAGGCTACTATGGGCTCACCATCCCATCAACCAGAGGCGAGGAGTGGTGATGGTGGTTATTTATGCCCCCACCGAAGACGAACATCCGGGGAGGGATGCAGGCAAGGCCGATGAGTCAGATGCCTTCTATGACCTCCTGTCACAGATGCTAGCTAAAGTGGCCCCTCGGGATATAGTCATCTTGTTAGGTGACTTCAATTCCCGAGTTGGTCATGATGCTGGCACTTGGTCTGGAGTGATTGGAAGGCATGGGTCAGATCAGCTCAATAACAATGGCAGGAGGCTGCTAGTTTTTTGTGCAGCCCATGGGCTTGTAATTACCAACACGCTGTTCCGGCATCGGCGCATCCACACACCATCATGGATGCATGCCGGGTCCAAGTAAGAACATTTGCTGGACTACATAGTGACGGAATAGCGGGTGCGGGCCCATGTCCTTGACAATAGGACCAACCGTGGAGCTAATCTGCCCACTAACCATCGACTTGTCATCTCTAAGATGCGCCTGCCATTCTTCCACTCCGGTGGTGGGTGTACACCCAGGACCCCATTCATGGTCTCAGCTAGCTGATGAAAGTTGCAAGCGATAATTTAATCATCGCTTGCGGCTGGGGTTGGCATCGTCTGCCACTGCTCCTGATGTCGAGGGGAAATGGGTGAGGTTTAGGACTGTGGCTCATGCAGCTGCAATGGCTACTTTGGGTACACGGTACAGACCTCCCCAGAGACCCTGGCTGACAGAAGAGGTGTTCAGGGTGGCTGAGAAAAAGCAATAGGCCCACTCTCATCGGCTACAGTATCCCACGTAGGAGAATGAGGAGGCTTACCGCAGCCTTCGCTCGGAGGTTTGGAGAGCCGTGAGGCGCTGCAAGGATGGGTGGTGGTCGCGGGTTGTTAAAGAGATGGAGTCTGCCTCAATGGCCCGCGATCACAAATCCCTATTTAATTCCATCAAAAAAGTAACATGCAGCGCCACACCTATTACCATCATTAGGGGAAAAAACGGTGATCCAATCTCCGACCCCCAGGAACAGGTTTGCAGATTTGCTGAGCATTTCCGTGAAGTCTTGGGGGAGGGGAAATCCCTCCACATGGAAAACATTGTGGTACAAAGTGGAGAAGACCCTGCTGAGGCTGCAGTGCCTCAAATATTGGAAGAGGAAGTCACCCCCTGTGAGTGGCTGTCTGAGGTGCCATCTGTTGAGGAAGTACTGAAGACCAGGAAAGGCACCGGGCAGAGATGATCTCCGAAGCAAAATGCTGAGGGAGGGTGGCGTTTGTGCACAGACTGCCCTACATGACATAATATCAACAGTCTGGACCACTGAATGGGTTCTGCAGGACTGGAAGGATGTCCTGGTGGTCCCCATCTTTAAGAAGGGAGACCGCACAGACTGTAACAATGACAGGGGCATCTCACTCCTCAGTGTGCCGGGAAAGGTCCTGGCAAGGATTGTTCAACACTGCCGTGCCAGGCACGCTGAGGAGAGGCTTGTGGAGCCCCAATGTGGTTTCAGGAAAGGGCGGTCCTGCACAGATGCCATATTTTACAACAAGACCTACATCTCTGCTTTATTGACCTATGATACCATCAGTAGGCCTAGGCTCTGGGTTGTTCTTCGTGCTTTCGGAGTCCCTGACCCACTGTTCACAATCATTAAGCACCTTCATGATGGTGAGCGGGCATCTTGGGGTGCGACAGGGTTGTCCTCTGGCTCCAACATTATTTAACATCTATTTCAACCACGTAGTTCATGAAGCTTTCAGTAGCTGTACCGGAGGATTTTTCATCTGGTACAGATACAATGGGAGGCTGATCGATGCCCGGGTGCGGTCAAGGGATGGCTCCCTATTGGTCAACCACGTTATGTATGCCGATGACCTGGTAATTGCGGCTCACTCAGAGGAGGAGTTGGAGGCGCTGCTGCTGAAACTGGAGTGTGCCACTAAGAGGTGGAGCCTTACCATCAGCCACACCAAAACGAAGCACCTGCCTGGGTATATTGTACCATTGGGCACTCCACCCCCACAACTCCCAATCGGTGATGGGGCAGTTGTGGAGAGAGTGGAGAGTTTCCCATACCTGGGCAGTGTGCTCATGACCGGCTCCGGTTTAACAGCAGAGGGTTCATTCCGAATCAGTTGAGCGGAATTATCTTTTCATCGGTTGCGTAACGCTGTGTGGAAGCTACCTGGTCTGTCGCTCCGCACGAAGCTTCGTGTCTTCTCGGCCACAGTCATTCCCTCCCTTCTCTACGCTTGCGAAACGTGGGCCCCCCTAATGGAACATCTTCGCCGGTTAGAAACATTTTGGCTGGCCTGCCAACAATCAATCCTGGGTTTAACCAGGCTGGATTGTGTGAGGAGCTCACAAATCCTCGAAAGATCTGGACAAAGTCCCATCGGTGAGCTCCTCCGGCAGGCAAGGCTGCGTTGGCTGGGCCATGTAGCTCGCATGCCCAATCACCGCATGCCCAATCACCGCATGCCCAAACAGCTTTTGTTCGGCCGGATCGAGGGGTTAAATGGGCATGGCACGGGCTAGAGAAGAGATGGAATGATGTGGTCCAGGAGGATGTGGAGCTGAGTGGACGTGCCAATGACTGGTACCAGCGGTGTCAAGATCGGCCTCTGTGGAGGAGGCTCGTGAAGGACGCTACTGGGCAGTTTGGAGGCAGTCGCCCCCCAACAACAACGGAGGGCAGAGGAGCGATGTTCACAACAACGAGCAGAGCGCCGGGTGGCTCAAGCACAGCAAGTTGGCACAGTAGGGGGCACAGATGGTGTATCAACCAGTCATCTCAGTCAGTCGACTCGTGGCACCTGGGTCTGCCCCGTGACCTCCTGCCAGCGAGCGTTCGACACTTCACGTGGCCTCAAGGTGGCATAGCCTGGCACAAGTGTCGTGGTGACGTCACCGCCACTTAGTGGCGAATGGCGGTTGTTGTTGTTGTGTGCGTGGGTACATGTGTGTCTATGTGTGTGCGTGTGTGCATGCGTGTGTGCTGTGCCGCGGTACCGGGTGTCTCGTGAGCAGATCCTGCAGCGCCTGCAGAGCCGCCGCCGGCTCCCCCAACAGGTGGCATGCAACAGCGTAGCCCAGCCATGACGCGGGCACCGAGGGCAGCGAGTGCAGGAGCCGCGCCTGAGACTCCTGCCGGGTCGAGTCGGCGTAGCAGGAGTGCAGTAGAGGCGGATCCGGGGGGAAGGAGTAGGGGGGGAGAGGAGTGTTACCCCCCTCACATGCATGGATTTCTCCGGATGCTCCAGTTTTCTCCCACAAGTAAACACTAATTCATCGGCTGAAAACATCATCGTATTTAAATGACCACAGAGCTTGTGTCCATTGCACTCCCCCCCCCCACCTTTGATATTACATTACTGGAGTAAATAATGTTTTCAAACATAGTCTTTTTTGGTAGCCAAAACTCCTATACAGGTTGGCCCAAAAGTCAGGAAACATAAGATTATTCTATTTAACAAAGGAACCTTATGCCGAGACCCCGGGGTCTCACATAAACTACGTTGCGACGTCATTTTGTGTCTGTTGAAGACGAACGGTACGGTAGTCTATTCCTCTTGACGAGCTCTACACGATGCGCTAATCAAAGTTTCAAAGTTTTGTTTATGACTATGGCAATTTTGGCAACGACGGGTGCTTGGTGAAGAACGAGAGAATTGATTTCTGGTGGGTCATGGCGTTTGTGCGCACGGTGGGACAGAGTCGCCAAAGTTAAATTAATTATATTCTTAGTTTTTTCGGTAAAGTCACGTTGAAGAGAAACAACAAAATATATATAAAACAATAAAAAATTCTCACGACGTTTCGACCATAACTCAAACGGTCATCATCAGGTGTGTCGGTTTGCATAAATTTATTTTGAAAACGGCATATTTATTTATTTATTTATATATAAAAAGAATACCGTTTGCGTCACGCGCAACGATTGGCAGTTTGCCCAGGACTAGTCCATCTATTTTTTGAAAAGAGGAGGGGGGAGACGAAATTTGTTTTTATGTATGCTGTCTGAAAGCCACTGTAAGCGTGAACAATCAATCAAGAACTGAAATGATTTATCAAATCTTTCCAATGATTGCTAAGATAGAATCCATCTTCTCGGTTGAAATTGTCTCTGTGCTTGTATATGTGGATAGCCTCATGAACGAATCTCTCATGGAAGCCAGATGGCTTACAAAGAACCTCCGTCTTGGAAAAGTCAATGGCATGTGAGCCTACTGAATTAGAACAATGATCTGCTACGGCCGAGGTGTTGGTCCTACCGTGTTTAAGGTCTGCTTTATGTTCACGAATGCGGTCCGAGATATGGCGTTTGGTTTCTCCAATGTAACTACTACCACAGAGGCAACTTAGTTTGTAGACACCAGGGTATTGTATGTCCGGAATCACATCTTTTACAGACGGAACCAGATCACGGATTTTATGTAATGTGTGGAAACGGACCTGGATCTTGTGTTTATTCAAGATTTTGGAGATCTTTTTTGTGATCCCAGCAATGTAGGGTAAAGTGATGGTTTTGAAAGGCTCCTCAAGAGGGTTCTTCTTCATGGTTTGAGTGATAGCTTTGCGGATTGTATAGTCGGAGTAACCATTAGCCCTAAGAGCTTGGTGTACGTGCTTGAGTTCACTGCTTATGTGTTCCTGGTCGGATATGCATTGGGCTCTATGATACAGAGTCTTGATGAGAGAATTCTTCTGTGATGGATGGTGGTGGGAATCCGGTTTCAGATAAGCATCCGTATGGGTAGCTTTCCTGTAGACAGAGTGGCTCATTGAACCATCAGGTCTCTTTTTAATTAGGACATCCAAAAAAGGTATCTTGCCATCTATTTCGACTTCCATGGTAAATCTGATAGCTGGGTGTATGGAATTGATGTGGTCGAAGAATTGGTCTAGAGCAGGCCGGCCATGTGGCCAGATGACAAAAGTGTCATCCACGTACCTCTTCCATAAGGTTGGGCGCAGAGTGGCAGTCTGGATGGCGTCAGTCTCAAATTTCTCCATGAAAATGTTAGCTATAACTGGAGAAAGGGGGGAGCCCATTGGGGTGCCCTCAGTTTGTTTGTAAAAAGTTCCATTCCAAGTGAAGTATGTATTGGTTAAACAGTGTCTCACCAGGGGGGGTACCTCAGTGTTTAGTCCTTGATGAACCAAGTCTTCAATGATTGCAATGGTGTCAAGTACAGGAACCTTGGTGAATAAGGAAACTACATCAAAACTTACAAGCAGGTCGTCTGGGGACAGGGAAATACCCTTGATTGTTGATACCAGGTGAGTAGAATTTTGTACCGCAGAGGTGGTTTTTCCAGTGAAAGGACGCAGGATTTCAGACAAAAAACGAGCTAGTTTGTAGGTGGGGGAGCTGATAGTAGAGACTATGGGACGAAGAGGTGTATCAACTTTATGTATTTTTGGTAAGCCGTATAATCTTGGTGGCCTGGCAGCAGAAGGTTTCAACGAAAACTGTTTAGATTGATCAATTAATGCGGTTGAATCAGAAATTATTTTGTTGGTTTGTGTGACGAGGCTGTTGGTGGGATCTCTTTTTATTTTTGTATAACTACCATCGTCGAGTAATTCTTTAATTTTGTTGTTGTATTCTATTTTATCCATGATACCAGTAGCATTGCCTTTGTCAGCTGAGAGAACTACAATATCATTCCTCTTTTTTAATTTATATAATTCAAAACGCTCATCTTTGCTGAGGTTGCTAGCTGGCATCTTAGCGTTTTTGAGGGTTGCAGCGATTTCAGATCTTGCTACATCTGCAGCGATGTGACCCAGGCCCCTGAGAGCAACGTCTACTTGGGCAATTATATCATTAACTGGTATGTGTTTAGGTGTGACTGCAAAGTTTAGACCTTTAGCTAAAACGGATTTCAGACCATCGGAAATAGAACTGTTACTGCGATTAATTACGACTTTATTAACGTCTAACTTTTTGGTGTATGGGTCCGGTCTTTTGTTGAAGAGGAGGTTAAATTTGGAAATCAGGTTTTCCTTACATTTGGTAGTAGTTACATTGGAGAAACCAAACGCCATATCTCGGACCGCATTCGTGAACATAAAGCAGACCTTAAACACGGTAGGACCAACACCTCGGCCGTAGCAGATCATTGTTCTAATTCAGTAGGCTCACATGCCATTGACTTTTCCAAGACGGAGGTTCTTTGTAAGCCATCTGGCTTCCATGAGAGATTCGTTCATGAGGCTATCCACATATACAAGCACAGAGACAATTTCAACCGAGAAGATGGATTCTATCTTAGCAATCATTGGAAAGATTTGATAAATCATTTCAGTTCTTGATTGATTGTTCACGCTTACAGTGGCTTTCAGACAGCATACATAAAAACAAATTTCGTCTCCCCCCTCCTCTTTTCAAAAAATAGATGGACTAGTCCTGGGCAAACTGCCAATCGTTGCGCGTGACGCAAACGTTATATTTTTATATATAAATAAATAAATATGCCGTTTTCAAAATAAATTTATGCAAACCGACACACCTGATGATGACCGTTTGAGTTATGGTCGAAACGTCGTGAGAATTTTTTATTGTTTTATATATATTTTGTTATTTTGTTGTTTCTCTTCAACGTGACTTTACCGAAAAAACTAAGAATATGAATTACTGCAGTCACGAAAGCTTTAAATCAAAAATTAAATTAATTAATTACGATTTTGACTTCTGTTTATTCGGGACCTCGGGGTGCCACCATAAGGTTCAAATTAAAACGGTTATTTAATTTATTTCAGTACATCTTCCAAATGACTCCCATTAACATTCATGTACGTTGTATGAATTATCTTTTGAAATGAATTTTGGACTTTTTTTGAGATGAGAGGTGTAATCTTTTAACATTTATAAATTGTTTCACCTCAATTAATTCATTTAGGGTTCTTGATCAAGTTTTGTAAACGACGGATATGAGTTGACTTCACAGGAAGAACAAAAATAGATATCAATGATGATGATAGAAAAAATAGTAACTTAAAGAATAAACTTTTGGGCAACCCTGGATATACCAATTGCGCTTGGAATTCCGCATGGCCGTGCACCGTGCATGGCAGAGAATGGCTAAAGAGATTCTGTCCACAGAATTTCTCACAAATAATTCCGTGCCAGTGGACCTCGTACCTTTTTCACCGTAGGGCACACAATCTCCCACACACACGCACCGCTGTACGACCACCGCGTGGTTATCATGCCGACATAATGCATTCTCACAACTGGATTTCATAAAAATCAAACCCATCATCTCTTCTCCCCTCACCCATCCTCCTGCTCTTTCCCGCCCAACTGCTACGACCAGGCCTACCCCAACCACTACCCTATTACCACCCTTGCACCTATCACTACCCCGACCACTTTGACTACCCCTATTACTACCCAAACCCCTCCTTAACCACTCCCGCCTGTTTTCCTTTCACCACAAATACACCACCACATTTAATAGCACAATTGAACCTCTGATTAGCACAGTTGTCTAGGTACGGTGCGAAAGAAGTTCAACATTCATACAGTAACAACCCCACTCCTTATAATCTCAACCACTGCCATCTAATGTACAATTGTATGATGGTTGCAAACAGCCGTGGATTAGTGTGCTATATCAATATATATAAGATATAAGAACCACATTTTATGTGATGCTCATGTTTTTGTGCAGCCATTGGTGACTGGGGCTGAGACCATCAACTCCCGGCAACAAGCAACTGTAATAGTGGGGTGGTGACACAGGCCGGCGGTGGCACATTCGTCGTTTAAAGTTCTCCTGGCACCATTGGAAGCGAGCAAAGCGGGCCACTGTGTGCCAGCATTACGATCCAAATTTGATGGGACGAGAATTTCGGCAGCCTTATTCTAGCTCCTGCGGAGGGCTTCTCAGCGCCTCGCCCGTCACCCCCACTGATGCCCCCCCCTCTCCCAATGTCTGCAGATACTACTGACGTTATTGTATGTAGGGTGTGTAGGCCTACAAAAGACTTTTGGGGGGGGGGTGCTTAAAAACATTTGGGGGGGGTCGATAATTTTTGGAAACCTGTCAGTTCAACTTTTTACCCCCACATCTGGGGGCTCCACTTTTCATTTTTTATTTCATTCAGGAATTCTGAAAGGCACTTATAATTTAGTG